CACTCGTTTCGGAGTCGAAGGCCAGGTTCACGCCACTCTTTAGCCTCTTGTTTTGATTCAAGATCTAGTGATAAGACCCATGTGTCATCGATAGTGATAAATGAACTCACAAAATACACTTTATCCTTTCGAAAACGATCTAAATGTTGCTAAGAAAGTCGCATTAGAATGTATTTTTGTTCCATTGTTAGCGAATGTGACACCCATTGTAAACAAAACTTTCTGGGACAGAATACTTCAGTCAAAATATTGCTTACACTGTCCAATGAGGTACCTAGGGCTTATACTAAATCTCTAGTCACTCGACGATTTTCTAATACGATATCCTGTATTTTTTGTACGATTTCTGGTGTTATACGACCACATACAAATTCAGCAACCATCTTTCTACTGTATTAATTAAAGTCGAAGAGTCCTTATACACTTTATACATTCCTTCATAAATTTCCGTTGCTTTTAAACCTTCCAAAAATAAAAATTCAATCACAGCACGATACTTGATTTTTTCCGTTGTAAAAAATACTTCGCGCATCGATACTAATTGGCTTGTCAACAAAGAATAAATTGACATACTGAAATAAAACTTTACATATGTTTATATGAAGAGTGTACCAACATAAAAAATAAAAATTAGGCTGGTAGCAACGCCCTCCCTTATCAAACCGCAAAACGTATTGAAGAGCCTTATTTATATTTCTTAAGCTGGATTTTCATAGATCCGATGACACGAAATACGAATTTTTTTCGTACGAATATATTTGATTGTCGTATCCGAAATTTTTTGACATACATTTCATATATATGTGTCAGATTATTGGATGGATTCGATGGATTAATATTTATTTCAATGCACTGTCAATAAATCTTAGCTGTTTTGTTTAATATAATATATTATTGTATTGAGCTATAATACGGTCTCGTCGTTTTTGCCTCACATAGTGTAGAAGACCCAAAAGCAACACTTTATTTATTGCATTTTTATTTAATAATTGGGTATTTGTTCCATTTTAAATATATTTCAAATAGTAAACATAAACACTTCACAAAAATAAGGTTAAGGTTCAAGTTAAAATGTCAACAATGAAACAATGTCAAAATTCATCCGATTTTCGTGTAAAAGTTAAAATATTTTTAACTTCTTCCGATGACTTTTAGTTTCGTACGAAAATCCCACCTGTCATTTTTCAACCAATGAAATTCGCTGAAATTTATATCGTATCATCGTACCGTCGGATATCGGACCTGTGAAAATCCACCTTTACTGTATCATACACGCTCATCCATACGTCTCCACAGTTGAATTTTGGGAAGCTTTACATTCGTTTCGTACTGTAAATGGATGTTGTTGATAATTTTTTGGAAATTTGTTGTCCTAAATGCGGATAAAAGCTGCTGTAGAAGATATTTTTACAGACAATTCAGATCACAAAATCATACACAATGAATTTGTAAAAAAACTCGTATTTATAAAGATAAATAATTCTATCTGTATGTAAATAATATTATTATGACATGATTTGTAAATAAATAAATCGATTAGAATGATTCTCATCTAATTTTTTTAAATATACTCCCTATTTTTTACCCCTGGAGAAGTTCTTCAACTGTAATATGTTAAAACCGTTAATGGTAGTAATAATTTGGACTAAATCACAAAGTAGTACCATTAAAGAAACATAAATCAAAATACCAAAGTGATAAATAACAAAATAAACTCCAATAGGAACTTTTGACAGTTGGGGGCGGTCATATTTTTGAAGCTACGTCTGTCAAATTGGGTGTTATTTATTCAATTTGTTTTGCCAAATTACCACGGATGGACTTATTGGATACAACTGTTTTATCAAAATGGGTGTTTTGTTCGGGAATGTTTTGAGAGCTTCGCCCATTTTACGGTCGCAATAATAGCCCTACCATTCACAGTGTGCTAGATAAATTTGAGTCCACTGATTCAATAAGCAATTAACCAACCTCCGTACGTGGATGAAGTGCAAGATCAGCCAAAACCATCGCCGCTTAGGGTGAGTGAGCATTAGAATCCGAGCATGTCGATTTCATGTTTCCCACAAGAATTCGGCCTTTCAGACTATAACCTTTCCGCCTTGACTTCTGTCTGAATCCGTAGAAAATTCAACTGACTCAGGACCTGAAGGTAAATGATCATAGACGACGAGGTTTGTTCGATGAATAGACTATTCCAAGAACGACCAGTACGAAATCTCCACTGATCTTTATCGTCTTATAATAGCGAATAGCTGAAATAGTTTCTCAAAACCATATTTATTCAATTTTATCCTCCGGCCCTGTAGAATTCCCATTTTTTCTAGTTATCGATTTTTTTTTAATTTCTTTGTGTTATCTCAGTTTTTTCGTGGTACGAAATATCATATTTTTCGTAGCCAATATCTTATAATTCTGTTCGATCTTCTGTCATCATTATTCTGCAATATTTTGCCCATATTTCCAGGTAAAAACAAATATCAAGAGCTTGGAACTCATGACACATCACCATATGCTTCAGATCTGATCTCCCAGTGTCTCAGTGATTTTCCCAAAGGAAAAAAATTGATTATATGAGGTTATTATGAAAGCGGGAGTATTTTAATATCAAATATAAATCGTTCTCCAATAAAGGGCATTAGAAAATCTTAAAAACTTGGGTTTGACTCAGTATACCACTCTAGGAAAGACTGTGTTGATGATCAGTCAGTGAATCACTACATACAACATAATAACTTACATTTTTGTTATATCTTCAAGCAGTTAAGAAAAATCAATCAGTGGCTGAGACTACATCACATTTTCACCATCGAAGAAAAAAAAACCAAAAACCACGAACAGCTTTCTGTAAAAGGTTTTAAGGAGAAGTTGGTTCTTCTCATTAAGTTATGAGGAAATATATCGCTGCTAATTACAAAGACGATGCGGAAAAGTCACACCGTTCATTGAAAAATACTGAAAAGTTGATGTTGCTACTGAATGGTTGGTACAAACGAAAGAAAAATGAGAAAAGAATTTTTCAAGTTAGTGTCTGCCTGATCAAGATCAAGCAGATACAACAATGAAATAGAGACTCTCTTCGGGAAAGGAAACATCGTAAGATACATAAAAGCCAATAGATTAAGATGGGCAGGCCACGTGGTACGGAGTGATGACGACAGACTGATTAGCAATGTGTTTTGGGAAAGACCAGATGGTAGAAGATCGACAGGAAGGCCCAGAAAAAGGTGGAATGACGCAGTCAGGGAAGACGTGGAGAAGATGGAAGTAAGGCCATGGGAAATAATAGCTCAGGATCGGAATCAATGGAAGGCAATAGTAAACGCGGCAAAAACTCACGAAGAGTTGTAAAAGTCAATGATGATAATGATGATCAAGATCGGCTGGATCTGCTAAGCTTAATTTAAAAAAAACAATTGGGTTAAATTAGCAACTTAATGAAAAAAATTATGCCGTTGTCAAATGTGCAGCTTCTGGCGAAAAGGCAAAAGCTGTAAAGATAGTGATAAAGGCCAAAAAGCCGGCTAAGCCACAGTAATGAGTGCTATAAAGGCCAAAGTAAAAATACTAAGACGAAGAAATCAAACAAAGGCAGTCGTACAAAAAAAACAAATGAAGCGGGTAGTTTACTGCAAGTTACTGCTCCTTTTTCTTTTATGCCTAAAGTACAGCTGAATCAGTTCTCAATCTTTTCAGAATAAAGTAATTTAAATGAGTGGATCTACCCTTCACACAAGTAAAGAGTAAATATAGATTCTTCTTCTTATTAATAGATTAATTTTACTAAATCAAATGGAGTAAAAACAATTATTTACACGTATTCCGTATTTAGATCTAAGTCTGGTTTCTAGAGTAAATTTAAAAATAATTGAAAAACTAGAACTAAGAGACTGGTGCTGCTTCTCGTACTCGTAGCGAGTACGTTGCGGCAGATTTGAACCTGTTGATGCTTCGCCCACCATGGCATCGTTGGGCCGGTTGTACGTTGATCAGTTTCGCTGTCGTAATTGCCGGTTTAAGTCCTTGCGCTTTAGTCTCATAGAAAAAATTCAGACGAAGCAACGAGTTAACCTTTGGTTGCTTGTGAAACTGAGAAAACCACTATATACATAAGCTCAAGTCTCTCAAGTGGGAATGTTTATAGCGCACACAAATTTGGGAGTGCAATAAAGAAGGTTTTAGATAAAAGTTTAAGACAATATCAAAAAGTTTGCAGAAAAATGATGTCAAAATTACTCACTCCAGAGCAAAAGGAACCTAAGATCATTGGTCCAACCAGCGCATTCGCTCGATCTGATCTCCTTTTATGGTATTGCCTCATGACATTTGTGACGTGACATTTTTTATTGCCCATGTAAAATCACTTAAGGGAAACGATATTTAACAGTGTGGAAGCAGTGAAAGCAAAAGCGATGGAAGTACTCAAAAAGCTGACAGTCTTAAATCTCCAGCACTGCTTTCAATAATGGAAAACTCGTATGGAGAATTATAGGAAATATACACGAGTATATTGAAGGGAATCAATTTTGTAATGTAATTTTGATTATTTGTCATATGTTCTGATGGTAAGTAGATAGAAAGAAGAGTGTTTTTTTTTAGTTTTTTGGAATCCGAAGCATAAATTCCTCCTCAAGACATTTCTCCCAGTTCCATAACAGTTTTTTTTTCACATATCTACACGTTTTCTATGAGCGTGATAATCTACTAAAATATAGAGCGGAGATATGTACTCGACCACAAAAATATAAAGAGTTACGTTTACTTCATTCTGGGTCTAAAAAAGGAATGCTACTTGTTTTATCAACATGTCAGCTTTATTTTCCTCGATTCCTTTATAGCATGGCATCATATATTATTTGCTATGTATATTTACCCTACACGGATAACTCTGTTGAAGCACTGCTGACAGCTGATACCCTAAAAATAATTTCAGTACTTCCAATGGATTTTGAGTCTGGAATTTAGGCGTTCATGAAATTAATAAAACAAAACAATCATTTGTCACATATATATTTAAAATTTATACATACACAAAACCGACTCAAACGGATCAGTAATATAAAACATTACATTCTAAATATTGTACCATTTGACATTTTTTTCTTGTTTCGACTCCTGTCGCTACACAATAATGCAGCACCTCTTATTTACGTATTATATTTCACATCTCGAAAATAGTCAAAGAGAGCCAATAACAAAAATTCGAAAAACTATTTGAGTACTGTAATTGAGCATATAATCATTATTAACAACCATATAGCTGCCCGATTTTTTAGTGAAAAGTAATTCGTACGGTTCTACAGAACGTCCAAATTGTCTATTATGGACGGCCATCCATCTCTTTAAACGTGATCTTTAAACATGATTAGGCCAGCCAACAGGGGAATGTTGCAATGCAAAAGGTACTAGAATGACGACAAGTTAACTTTCTAATGGACCAGTACCAAAAAATGTATCATAAGTATTTAACAAAGAAGAAAGAAGTTAGCCAGAAAAATGTTTTACGTATAAATTCAATTGTGTGAAATCTACGATATTCAAGAATCGTAACTTTGAAATTTCTAAAGTGAATTATATATTTACAGTGAAAAAAATAATAAAATATTGATAACAATAAGAAAAAATATACATAGCTTTCTAGATCTTGTAAAGGCTTTTGGCAAAGTACCAAGAGAAAAATGGACAATATTGAAGAAAAATCTTGGAAGTGGGAGTAAAAAGATGGGCGTAAGCGTGAACTTTGGTAAGAAATAAGACGAGGTAAGTAATGGGGATTTTTAGTAATAAAATATACAATAATTATAGTAAACTAAACATAATCGTCAATCAAGGAAATGAAATCCCTCAGTTAGTGGAAAATTTGGTCGTATTCCTCAATTTTCTTTACCTCAGTTTTAATATGTCCTCAAAAAGAGATAGAAGACAAAGGAGAGGAGAAAGAAAGGGGACAAACGAGCAATCAGATAAAAATCAAGTTATTGAAATTATGTACGAGTATGCTGTGCGCATGAGAGGTTCCAAATTTAGATATTCTTTATTACAGTCATAGTAATTGTACTATGTATACTTATATGAAGTACACCAAATAATTGTAAACCAAGGAAAATACAAATTTGCTGAGAGCAGAATCTGATGATTACCTCTTCTAACTGTTTTAAATAGTGATATGAAAGGGTTATTTGAGAAACGTCTACATAACAATTAAAGTGGTGTAGAGTGTCTCAACGATTACCACGGAACTTCCTACATTGTCAGGTACAAACAAAAAAATAAATATTAACTGTTAAAATATTTTACTTACTTGATAAAAAAATTAAATGTAGCAAAAATATTTTATACGCAGATATTTGGACGTTCTGTATATAAAAACGAGGCAAACGCCTCTTAAAAGCATTTCAGCTTCTTACTAACACTAATAGGTACGGTAGATTACGAAATATTTTTCACTTAACCTTAAAATTACAACATATACATACACAACCATCATAATACAAAAAACTAAGGCTTATTTTGCAAAGATTAGTAAAAAATATAATCGATTTAATATCAGTCACTTTATTTACAAGGACGTATGAGTTTTGTTAGTTCGAACAAACGAAAAATCAGCAAAAATACACGTAAAGAATCAACAGAAAATATTTATACTAATCATTGAGAAATTGTATAATTGAACTGTATATATGCAACCACTGATCACTGAAATTAAACAAGCCATTGAGCAAAGACTATTAAACGGCAGTCCACAAATGACAGTTGGCAAATGACAGTTGATAATAATTAGAAAGTTTCCAAGCATGATTCTTTCTGTGTTGGTTTTTGCTGATTTTACGATGGTTTTCGGGTTAAAAAAAGATTCAAATTATGTTGGGCAACAATAATAATATGGAAATTAAATGACCTTAATACGACGATTGCCCAAAAATGGCACAAGTCACAGCAATTAATTTATAACAATAGTAAAAGCTTTCTTCGGGTATGCACGTCAAAAAGTTGAAATAGTCTCATCAAATTATTAATAATTATTGCCAATATAACAGTTTCAAAAAATTATTTGTTTCGATAAGAATTTCGTTAATATTGCTTTCGCTTTATTTGTTTTTGAGCATGCCTAGATTTTTTTGAGCAAATATCGACCTCAACAATTTAGGGAGTAGTAACCGAAGATTCATAATTATTATAATTATAATTATAACTTGCATCGCACAAATTTTAGCATCATAAGTAAATCGTGGCAATTAAATCGGTTAAGTAAATCGTGGAAATTAAACAGTGATTAATACAAACACACAAAGTATGTCTGAATACTAACTTACATGGAGATACGCCGTGGAATGCCGAGCTTCTAATTACTTCGCCGATCGGAAGAGTCCAGTGATCGATGTGAAAATATCGTGTGATGTATATCATTTTATGTTGAGTATTTATAAATTAATAATGTGGTTTTCAATGAAGTGTGATAATCAGTGGGACCTAAATGTAAAAGCAAACCATAGATGGATCTAATAAAGAAAAGTATAAATGTGTACAAAAATAGTGCCAACGACTGGTCGAAATTATTTTTTTTTATTATTGAGTTAATGCCTCGACAACTAAGATCATTGGCATGGTACAGTCAGGTACCTAGTGTAGTGTGTGTGTGTGTGTGTGTGTGGAGTAATTGTCTTAATACTTAGTAAAGTCGACGTCATTGTCTTTGCTAAGAGACGCTAATTGTATCCGAACGTCTGCGGTCCCTCCGGTGAGTACCGATCGCACAAGGATAGAAATTATTTTCATTCATTAATTTTTAATAAACGAAAATTTCTCCACCCAGGTGAGATTCGAACTCACGACCTTTAGGTTTAAAGGTAGGCGCTCTTACCACGAGCCACAGAGGGGGTTAAGGTCGAAATTCTGATTTCAATTCAAATATAAAATATGATTCAGGTCAATTTGAACGTTGATTCAAGATAGTTGACAAATTCTTCCCTAATGACAAAAAATAACACAATGAACCAAATATAACAACGATTGGATAATTGACTCTTAAAAACAGGTAAATGCAAGTAATCAAAATAATTCAAGTTTTGCTTTTCGGACGAATCAATAATGTAGTTTCTCATTGATAAAACTGTCTTTGTAAAAGAATACCAAGATATTGGACTATTATACAAGAAAATTATAAAAATTAATGAAAATATGTTTGTTTTTTTTTTTCGATTTCTCCCATATTACCTTAAAGGATTCCCCAAACCGACGCGAAACTTTCGCAGCGGAATCGCGGCGAATCGTAAGGCACGGCGACTTAATGCATGTGTTCAGACAAGTTCGGACGGAAACCGGAACGGTCGCGGCAGAACAGCGTTGACGTTTCATGAAACGCTGCATGCACGGTTTTTTCCGCTGCAGTTATAGCAAGTTATAGTTTCGCGTGAATTATTAAAATGGCTGTTACAGAAAAACTAATTGAAATTGTGAAACAATATCCTATAATTTATGATTTAAGTGACGAAGATTATAAAAATATAAGAAAAAAGGATAAAGTCTGGGATAATATAGGGTCATTTCTAGGAGAAAATGGTAAGTTTTCATTATATATTATATATAATGAATTTAATAGTGCTCCGCCTGCGAATGTTCCGCAACGGTTTCGCGTCGCAAAAGTTTCGCGTCGGTGTGGGGAATCCTTTATACCTTCCATTAGACTCAGGACTTTTGAAGCATTACATAAAGAGGTTACGAGATTTTTTATTTGTTGAAAGTTTTTAGAGCCTGTATTAAAGATAATATTTTAAAAGTTGATTTTACACCTGTTTCTCTTAAGAAACAGTTACATTAAACGTTTGGGGAGGTCTTTGCTAGAATTAACTCAAATCAGTGAACGAAAGGGACAAAAATTAAGTTTAACCCGTCATTTTTCCAAGGATGCGGATAAAAAAATGTTTGGAATAGACGAATAAGGAAAAAAAATTTTGTAGTATTTCCCGGACCAAGTACCGGAATCAAATATATATACCACCTCCCCTGAAAAGAAGAGCAAGAATAAAATTTGTGTAGCGCTTGTTAAAACGAATAAATAAACAAACTAAGTTCCCCTTATGACAAAATATGGTTAGGTATAACGGAAAAATGAGAAAAAATTTAAATCGGATTTGGCAATGAGTTTATGCTGATCTCTCGGTCTATGAGATTAGGCTATGTCAAATGTTGACATTGTTTTTGAATTGGCACTTAGAGCTCATAACGGAACTGAAGAATCTTTCAATAGAAGAATATTTAAGAAATTATGTGATTATACTGCCGAGATAATATATAAAGTGTTGCAAATCATGTACAAAATACCACGATATTCAGGAGCACTTCCAAAATCATTCAAAATTTGGTGTAGTTTGTAACATATCTTTTTATGTTTCAATGTACTGTTTCATTGGAAGTTCTCACCTCAAGTTGGAAGTTCCCCTCCCAAGGCAAATGTCTAGATCCGCCACTGATGCTACAAGATTGTAAATTTTACACCAGATTCACTATAATGAACTAACTGACATATCAAATCAATTACCAAATGGACTTAGATAATCTATAAAAGTGTTGCAAATCATGTACAAAATACCACGATATTCAGGAGCACTTCCAAAATCATTCAAAATTTGGTGTAGTTTGTAACATATCTTTTTATGTTTCAATGTACTGTTTCATTGGAAGTTCTCACCTCAAGTTGGAAGTTCCCCTCCCAAGGCAAATGTCTAGATTCGCCACTGATGCTACAAGATTGATTTTACACCAGATTCACTATAATGAAATAACTGACATATCAAATCAGTACCAAATGGATTTAGATAATATATAATAGCGTTGCAAATCATGTACAAAATACCACGATATTCAGGAGCACTTCCAAAATCATTCAAAATTTGGTGTAGTTTGTAACATATATTTTTTTTGATATTTCAATGTACTGTTTCATTGGAAGTTCTCACCTCAAGTTGGAAGTTCCCCTCCCAAGGCAAATGTCTAGATCCGCCACTGATGCTACAAGATTGTAAATTTTACACCAGATTTACTATAATGAAATAACTGACATATCAAATCAGTACCAAATAGATTTAATATTTTAAATTAGATAGTCGAAACATGTTGAAAATAAGCTTTTCAATTGATCATCTACTACGTGTTTCAACTAATAGTCGGTAATCACGACGGGTCGTGTAGGAATTGCTATTTGCATGAACAAATGCTCCTCTCCCCCCACAGAATTCAAATATAACGGGCCACCACTGACGGGTGACTGAAATTGACCACTCTAAACACAAAGCTCAATTGACTCTTGACTCTATAGTATATCTACTATTTTGATGATCAATGTGTGAGAACCTATAACTTACAACAGATGATCAATGAGTTTATGTCATTACATTTCCATTTCACCGTTTTTGACGTGCACTACGCATAATTGACAGAGCTGACCGACTTACTTTTTACACATTGATATGTTGAACTCGATATAATTTACCTACAGTTCTTCCGTTGGCGGCCTTGTCGATTCATCTCCGGTGTGTTCTAGGAGGATGGCCTTTTCGTCTCTAACGCTACTCGTACCTCCGTTGTATACTGATTCGTATACTGGATTGGCAAAGTTACCAGCCTGAAAAACACAACGTGAGAGATTGAGTCATGACAGGGCAACGTAACAAAAGTTAATATAGTGATATAAGGTTGAATGCTCGAATAAATGAACTTTAATCAAATAAAACGCAAATATCGAGCACAGTTTTTATTAAATCTTGCCCAAGTACTTTCGCTCATAGAGCATCTTCAGTGGCATCTGAAATAAACCAAGAATCGTTTTTCCAACAGAAGAAAATTAGTTAACTTCGATAAAAAACTCGAAGTTGATGGTTGATAAAAGTTTTTTATGTAAAATAATGTTTTAGACTTTTTTCGTCAAATTTGGCCTATCCAACAATCTATTGAGAATGTCATAAATATAAAATTGTACATTAACACTACACGACACAAGGACAAACAGTTTAAAATTTATAAAAAACAACGAAGCTACATATTGGTTAGCATCAGGAGAGAGAATGGTCTTAATGGAAATGTTAAGATGACATGTGACATATAACAGCTTGGATGGGCAGTCACAATCATGGTGATGTGATCTGAACATTTCAAAATTCTATGAAACTGAGCATTGACCATAGATCCAAGTGACACTACTATAAGAAATCAATTGATGAAAGGTGCTCTAGGAGGCGAAAGTACTTAGGCAAGATTTAATTAATAAACTGTGCTCGATATCTGCCTTTCATTTGATCAAATTAATATATGATCGACATCTCGTGTAGTTGAAAGCTATTCGAATTAAATCTCAAGTATTTCAACTAAATGTAGCGATAATATAATGTAAATAGGTAACAAGTGTCACATTCTCTCTCTCTCTTTCTTCAGTACTGAGCCCCAGGAGAGAGTAAAGTAGTCATCGTGATATTCTGTATTGTCTCTGATCACTTCTTTTAACTCATGCATAGGTCTAACACGTTACATACCAATTAAATCAAAGAAATATGTTTAACTATCTACTTACTTTGTCAGCTTCTAATGTAAAAGGTTCTGCATCTCTCTCTGGAAAGATGGGATTACTAAAATCGTTCTCTTGCAGCCTTTCGTGAGAGAAAATCGTCCGTTTCTTAACGTAAAATTCGAAGACCAGGAAGCCTGCTACTAATACTGCGATTATCACCGCCAGAGCTGCCAAGATCGGTATTGCAATACTTCCGTGTCCTTTGGTTTGAGCTGTCTTTCCATAACTGTCCGATTCACACCTAGAACCGAAACGAATTGATCAAAAATGGGATTGTTAAATTTGTCACACTATAAAAAACTCCCTACTGCACTACTCTATCGCATCCGCACACCTACTTGTTCTAAACTTACACTTTTCTTATATACCCGTAGTAGTTTTTCATTCATATCCCCCACTCCCACAATTTCCTCTTATGACTCACAGCTTTCTATTTCTCTCACTCATACAAATACAATTACTCTCTAGATTTCTCTCATGACTCACTCCACAACGTTTTATTCAGCTATCAATACGCCTTCTTTAATTATTTTCATGTTACCATTAAATTTTTTTTTGAAATAGCAAACATGGATGGTCTCTCACCTAACTCCTGAGAAACCAGTGGGACAGCTGCAGTAAGGTATTCCGTCGCTAACTGAGCAGGTTCCGAAATTTTGACAAAATTGTTCACACGCTGCCGGTCTATCACAATCGGGTCCTGTCCAATTCTTGGTACAATGACAGACTGGTGGTTGATCTGTATTGGTAATAACACATATTCCACCGTTCAAACATCGGTTCACGCAAGGATTAGGTCCCACTAAATATTTCTAAAAAAAAAAATAAAAATGTATATTTATCATTATAACTGTTCTGAACATCTCAAAACTGGGAGGAAAATTTAGGGAGAATAAAGTGAGGGTAAGGTCTTAGAATCTTAGAAACCTAAAGACTATGGATTTACGAGAAATAATCGTAGTACTTACATCGCAATTATATCCATAGAAGCTTTCGGGACACTGGCAAACCACTTCATCAATATCCTCATTGGGTTTGACGCAGACTCCTCCGTTCTTACAGCTGCACTGTTCAGAGCAACCTTTCGGCGGATACCGACCCAAGCACAATTCCAGCTCGCACCTTCTTCCTCCATAGAACTTGTTGCAGATGCATTCGGGTTGTTTTACTCCTTGGCGGCAAGTACCACCGTTCAAACAGTGATTTTCGCAAACATTTCGATCGCAAGCATCCCCCGTATAGCCTGGTACGCAGACGCACTTGGATCCATCGCCGGTAGGTCGGCCGTGTTTGCCGCAGACGGATATTTCGCATGAACGACCTGTTAAGTATTGAAAGAACATATATTTTAGAAAAATGTCACTTAATTCCTAATTCATTGTTGTTATGTTGGGTTAGACTCAGTTATGTTTACTTCATAGACATATTTGGTTGTTAGATCATTGATTATAAACCACCTCCTAGATACCTCACTCTAAGGTAAAAACGAATTCAGTGTTAAACTCCGCCCACTTACACCTCTTTGTCCCTCACGCCTAAGTACTACCTGACTGTATGGTGGCGACATTCATTGAAATATTTGCCTATTTTTGAGTTCCCTGGTCCGACCATTGTCTAATGCAATAGACGACATTATAAGGATGGCATTCAGCATTTTCACAAATTATTTTATCGTACTTGTAATCAATCTACATTATGAAATTCCGATTTTACTTAAAAAAAACGCTAAAAATTGATTAAGGTTTTCTAAAAATTATTTATTTATCAATACAATACAAAAAAAATAACAAAACATAAAATACATAATAAAATTAGCAGTGATAAATTACATCTCACGTAAATTACTTTTTTGTAACTTTTCAAACAAATTAATTTCCAGGATTGATGCAAACTAAAATATTTCAAGCTAATATACAGAATATATATATATATATATATATATATATATATATATATATATATATATATTTCTTATATTTTTAAATTAAAAAAAAACTGTTAAAAAATAAGCCCTTTATACAAATGAAACTTACAGATCATTATAATAATACAGTAAAAACAATGACCAAGGTATTTATTAGAGAAATCAGGACACGCATTGAAATTGCAAGACAAGCATTTATAAAAATTTAAAAAATGTTTGTTAATCGTGATCCGAACTAGTTTTGATAGGAAATAAGCCACAATTTTACTAAAAAAATGATTTTATTAACGTTTTGAAATCGGGTGTCGTTGTCAAAATACAAAAATTATTAATGAATTAAATCTTGTTGCTTAGTAAAAAAATACTTCTAATAATTTATTTATATAATCTGACTTATTTATATTGGCAATTCGGACATATATTATACATTAAGTAAAAGACTTTAAAATGATATTGCCAATATTTATGAGTTGCGTTCCTGGGACAATATTTATATTCTAGCGCGAGAATTTTACTGTCACCATTGCATGTGGTTGTCTTTTTAAAGACAGATTACAGGTTCTGATTTTTTTTTGTGACGGATATTCTTGAGTTGGGTTTGATTTCATGTAATTGAATTAATTATCTTTCAATAAAGTCGTCCTAGGAACGCAACTCATAAATATTGACAATATCATTTTAAAGTCTTCTACTTTAAAATGTATAATATATGTCTGAATTGCCGATATAAATGACTCAGGTTAAATAAATTATTAGAAGAATTTTTTTACTAAGCAACAACATTTTTGCTTAATTCATTAATAATTTTTGTATTTTGACAATGACATCCGATTTGGGCGTCGAAACGTTGTCGAAAATTGTAGCTTATTTCCTATCAAAACTAGTTAATTGCAATAACGCCACAAGAAAATAGCTTCAGAACAAAATCTAGATCTTACGAATAAAGTACGGATAGCTGTGGTGATGGCTAACATTCGATAGGAGAAGGAACTTCGACAAAAATAGGATATAAATTTTGTTCTGATAGTAACATTGTACTACAAAAAATTGACAATTTATCTAGAAATGGCAATATAGAAGTCAATTATATTCTGTGCAAAATAAAAAATTGTATAGAGTAAACTAAAATCAATATGATCTACTGTTCGATCACATACTTTTTACATTTAAAAATTTTCTGAGGATTATCTGGAATTACGTCATCGAGGTTTTAAAAGCAAGTAGTGGTGTGTACCAAATGCAATTGATTTTGATTTTGACAAAATACCACAAATTACCAACGTTAAAAATGAATAATGTAAGTACATATCTTGCTAAAATGACACGAAATTTCCAACAAATAAATAGTTGAGGGTCATCTGCCTAGGAACAATAGGTAAAAGCTGATAAACAGATAGGATTAGAAAGTAACAAACAAAATATATAGATAGAAAAAAAGAGGTTTAATAAGTGCTGCCAAAAAAAAACGGTAGACCCTATAAAGTGAATGAAATGGACACTAAAGAATTTTTTACTTTAAGGATCTTTAAAAAATTTTAGGGCAAAAATTCACCAAAAACTCGGATAACGAGAAGGTAGTATGGAATAATATACAAATTCTTAAAGTAGAAAAGTTTTTTACAAAACCAACTTTGACGATATGACCTATAAAACTATTGACCTTTCTACTCGTCGTTTTTCTAATAATAATAATAATAATATTTTAGATCAATATAACTTAAAACCAGCCTACGAAAGCCTCCTACTGTAGGAGAGAAAACAAAAGAGCATTTATTGGAATTAGGCAAAAAAAAATTATTGCAAAAGTACACACCAATCATTTTATTTCAATTTGTTGAGTTAATTTCTTGTAAGTGATTTATAATATACAATTATATAATTATTAAATTTATCTAATAAAGTACATACCATTTATAACTTTGTCTGGTTTTTCATTGTTAATGTGTATAATCGTAGCAGTTATGGATATTCAGTAATTTAAAAATGTAATGCAATACCGCCATATCTTACAAATATTTATAACGGTTAAATAGTTCTCGTTTTTGAAAAAAACATATCCATTCGTATGCTATTGAATTACTAATATTCTAATATTTAATTACTTCTCTTAAAATATATATTCTGTAGAGGAAAAAAACCCGTCACTCATATTTTCATTTGTCTCTCCTGTTAAATTTATAAATTTGCAGTTGTAGCGGTATTGAATTGGATGTGCGGCTTGTCACAGATAATACACCTATAGGGTAAGTTCGGCCCTGACACTACTCATACCTCCTCGCAAGTCAGAGACAGAATGAGAAATCTCGATACGGTTTTCGAGTAACGCCATCTAGTTGTTGATACGTCTTTCGGTTACCACGAGGTGAGCTATCTAGTGGGTAGTTCATAATCAATGGTTAGATGATTTCGTTGGGTTAGGTGGTTTAATACAAATATACTGAGCGCTGAAATTAAGACCGGTTCCCACAGTGTCACAGAGAGGGAATTGTATGTACATAATGTCTTTTAAAAGCATGCCAAAACGTATTTGTTTGGAAGAAGTTATACATCGAGCCATGCATTACATGAATCATATTATTACAAATATAATACTATCCACAAATGATTATACGTAATGCGTTTACGGCAGTAAACAGAATAAAACGCAATTATCAAGATTCGTAGTTTATTTCTGAGAAAAGTTAAATTTTCTTGATTGTCGAATATCCGAGAAATCTATTTAATAACAGAATTAATCAATGTCCTGACATTATTTCGAAATGTGTTTACGCAGCTAAAGACACAACATATGAATCACCAGCTGAATCAGCAGATTGCCGTAACTACACAACGAAACAAATGCTTTCATTTTATAAACTCTTCTTCTTCTTAAAGTGCCTATCCGTTCCGGATGTTGGCGATCAACAGTTCAGTGGTAGTCGTGTTATACCACTTTTGTAAATTTTGAAGCCAGGAAATGCGTCTTCTTCCCGGTCCTCTCTTAGCATTTACCTTCCCTTGGAGATCAGCTGGAGAAGGCCGTACCATTCTTGATTTCTCATTACATGTCCTACATATTCCAACTTTTTAGTTTTGACGGTCATGAGAATTTCACATTCTTTCCCCATTCTACGCAGGACCTCCACATTAGTAACTCTGTCAACCCAGGATATACGTAAGATGCGCCTATAACACCACATTTCGAAAGCTTCGAGCCGATTCATAGATGCAACAGTCAGTGTCCACGCTTCTATTAGTAGCAATAGTCAATAGTTCAATGATATGTCTCGACTGTTGAAAATGGTTCTCATTGTAACGAATGCTGCTTTTGATTTTATTATTCTCTGTTTAATTTCTGTTGAGTGGTTCCATTGGCTATTTAAATTGGTGCCTAGATATGTATATTGCTCAACTCTTTCGATATTTTGTTGGTTGATTGTAAGTTGAACGTTTAGTATTGGTTTTTTACTAATTGTCATAAATTTGGTTTTCTTTATGTTACGAGCTAGTCCGTATCTGTTGCTGAAATATTGAACAACAATGGAGACAAAATATTATCGGGTTTAAAAAGAAAACCCGATAATATGCATAGGTGACAATCGTATAAAACGCGTGAAAACTTTTAAATACCTTGGCACCACAATCAATGACCAATCGGATCCACAACACGAGATAAAAACCCGAATACAAATGGCAAGACAAGCTTTTGTGAAATTCAGACCGTTCCTATGTAATCAACACCTAAACTTCGAAATACGCTACAGAATGGTCAAGTGCTACATATGGTCCATCTTGCTTTATGGTATGGAAACGTGGACTTTGAAAAAAACATCTATCAACAAACTTGAAGCATTTGAAATGTGGTCATTGAGAAGAATGATGTGCATACCTTGGGTTGATAGAGTTCGAAACGATGACGTCCTTAATAGAGCCGGCGTGGAAAGAGAACTCTTTGAATTAATTAAAAAACGCAAGATTGGTTACCTTGGGCACATATTGAGAGGAGCAAAATATGAAATACCACAGTTAATCCTACAAGGGAAGATCGAAGGTAGGAGAGGAGCCGGCCGCAAACAATTATCCTGGTTAAGGAATATTAAAGAATGGACAGGAATACACAATACAGGTGAGCTGTGTCACGCCGCCAAGAACAGAATTCTAGTAATGAGATAGTCGCCTACGCACTTTGGTGTATGGCATGTTAAGAAGAGGAGACGAAATACAGCCCTACCGTACTCCACGTTCTATTGCAATTTTATCAGTTAACTGGTCTTCTATTTTGATTTTGGTCGTTTGATTGTAGTAAATGTTTCTGATAATTCAATTCTTTGTTGTCAATTCCAATTTCTTGCATTAGAGTCATTAATTTGTCATATTTTACTCTGTCAAATGCCTTTTGGCAATCTATAAAGCATACGTATATGTCAAAATTCACATCCCTGCATCTCTGAAATAGCACTTGTACAGCAAAAAGGGCCTCCCGTGTTCCCAGAGCATCACGAAATCCGAATTGTGTTCTTGTTAGTTGTTCCTCACATTTTATATATATTCTTTTGTGAATGACCTTTAGAAATGTTTTAAGTAAATGGCTCATAAGGCTTATAATTCTATAGTCTTCGCACTTTCTCGCATTGGGTTTTTTTGGAAGATTTATAAAAGTTGACACTAACCATTTTGGGGAATTATGCCTGTATCATATATATTGTTAAATATATTTGTCAACCATTTTATGCCATCATAGCCCATAAGTTTTAAGAATTCTAACTGAAAATTATCAAGGCCTACTGCTTTACCATCTTTGTTGCTTTTGATGGCATATTTTACTTCTTCGACTGTAAATGGTGGTCCAGATTCGCAATTTGTGTTTGGTTGTGATACCAGTGTTACTTCGTACATCTTCAAAAGTTTTTTCCACGTATTTAATCCAAATATCCCTTTTATGCTCTATTTCCAGTACTATGTTTCCCTAATTATTTGTCAGGAATCCAGTGTTCTTGTGTTTATATAAGCCTGTCGCTTCTTTAATCTTTTTATGGAGGTTAAATGAATCATATTTTCGTTGTAATGACTCTATATCTGTACACTTCGAGCTAAACCAATTTTCTTTTGCTATTTTAATACCCCATTTTATTTCGTTATTTATGTTGTTGTAGTAATTCTTATTATCTCTAGCGTTTCTTCTGTCTTCCATCATACATAGAAACTCCTCCGTCATCCATTCCTTTTTCTTTGTTCTTTCAGGTTTTAAGTATTTCTCTGTTATTTCTTGACTTACTTTATGCAAATTTTCTAGTTCTATATCTGTGTTATCTATTTCTGTACGAGCCCACGTTTTTTATTTATAGCGTTTTTGTACCTTTTCCTTTACTGCTTTATTTTTCAGTTGGTTAATATCGAGTTGGTTAATATCGTACTCCGTAATTTTTGGTCTTTGAACTTTCTTTAAACTAAGTTTCATTTTGGCGATAAGTGGATTGTAGTCCGAATTTATGTCAGATCCCGGGTACGCTTTAACAGATATTATAGAGTTTCTAAATCGTTTGTTAACAAGAATATAGTCTATTTAATTTCGTACTGTGTAATCTGGAGTATCCTGGGGAGATTTTCAAGTATATAGTCGTCTTGGAGGAAGATCATAAAAGGTGTTTGTCACTACGAGCTGTTCTTCAGTTGCAAATTCAATCAAACGGTCTCCACGTGCATTACGTTCCCCTAGACCAAAGGATCCCACTAAATTTCCACTTTGTCCTTTGCCAACTTTGGCATTAAAGTCTCCCATTATCAAAGTATTATTTCGTTTTTCCGAATCCTTTTGACGATATTAGTAAGGTCATTGTAAAATTCTTCTATAATTTCTTCTGGGGCGTCCGCTGTAGGAGCGTATACTTGAATAATGTTTGTTTTTATGGGAGTTGTGTTTAGCTGAACTAAGAGCATCCTTTCTGATACAGGTACAAAGTGACTGACACAATTGGCGATTTTATTATTCATAATTAGGCCCACTCCATTTATATGTTCGTTCTTAAGATTTCCTGTGTAGAATATTTTGTGATCTTTGATAACTCGGTATTCCGTATCTGTCCAGCGTATTTCGCTTATTCCCATAATACTAATCGAGTCTTTTTATGAACGTCAATCAAAAACTAAAAAAGGAAGAACTAGAATACAAAGTAAACGTTTACCTTGCATGGTATGGAACAGGAATTATAATATATTGTATTTATACAACGTTAATCCATCAGTTAATGACCTTATGACCATAAAAAATATCCTCATTCTCATCTAACAATATTCTTTTTCTCATCCTTTAAAAGTCCTTCTTCTCTGATAAGATACCATGATTTATATAAGCATCTGCATGAGCATAACCACCCACAAAACGTGTTACAATAATTTAAAAACTATTTACCTCTATATTCAATGGGACATACGCAAATTTCTTTACTATTTTCGATCCTACAGACACCGCCATTATGACAATTCAATTTTTCACAGTTCTGGCAGCGATTTCCAGAGAATCCAGGTGGACAAGTGCAGTGAGGTATACCAGTCTCTAATATGAGGCAGATTCCGTTATTATGACATCTTCCTAAAACACAGAATAAACAACATTTGTAGTTTAATAAATAAAGTTAAATTTAAAAAAAAACTACGACAAACACCGTCATTATCAAAACAGTACTGTCTAGAGTCCAGTTAAAAGACCACAAAGAAAGGTCCTCAAATGGCTAGAATAAGATTCGATAGATATTGTAAGTCGACATTTGTCACAATACCAAAGAAACATCAAGCAAAGAGATGTAGTGATTATCGGACAATAATAGTCTGACGAGCCACGTTTTGAAGATTTTCCTGCGAGTAATAAATATCAGAATATCCAAGATATTAGAGAAAATAATTAGCAATAGCAATGTAGGAGTGGCTTGGGTTTTTTCTTCAATACCCAAGTACTGATACAGAAATGCAGATCTCTGAAGATTTACGAATAATTACAAATCTATACTGGCATACAGTGGCAAAAATAAAAGTGGAACAAGAACTGTCGGATGAAATAAATATAAAAAACGGAGAGGGACAAGGCTGTATACTCTCGCCTGTACTTTATCTTGTATTTAATGAAAATATTTAATGACGCTAATTGCAGTGAAGACCTTCACAATCTAATTAACAAAATAAACCATACCTGTGATCAGTATGGACTAAAACTTAATGTTAAGAAAACTAAATATATGATAGTTAGCAAACAAAATTATATACAAGATAACGGTATGAAAGATTACATTTGTAAAAATGAGAAACATACTTTGCAGCCATAATCTTAGTATTGACCTACGCGTTCGAATAACACATTTTCATATTTTTCCAGTGCTATTAAATGGAGTGAAAGGGTGGACTCTAAGTGAGGCCATGCTTAAACTCTTGGAAGCCTTTAAAATATGTGTATACAGACGACTGCCAAAGATAAACTGGGTCGACAGAGTTAAACATGGGGAGGTCCTTAGAGGCCTGAACCAAGCAACACAACTAGTAAATATAATAAAGAGACGTAAGCTAGACGAACTCTGTCTGTATCGGTATGGGGTGAATTGACTAGCTCTATAACCGATGCAGCCGTTCCCAAGCCCGGATAAAAAAGGAGGGACAGAGAAGGAACACTTAAAAAAAACCAGGGTTTAACTAGCCCGGTTGATAGCACTCTGTAAGGGCTCCTTGTCTAGGATTATAGACGAAGGGTAGATGATGCTCTTAAGCTGCAGTGAAAGCAAATTGTCTAGAAGAAGGAAAATTCCAAAATTAAACTCTGGCCCTCCAAGTCGTGGGTTGAGGCATCGCCATATTATAAGACACCCTCAAAAATATGAACTTTTGCATCTCAACATTTAGGGAAAGTTTCAAACTAACGTGCTTCTAATAGAAAAACAACATCATAAATGAAAAATAATAAGAGTACAACTGCAAGTAGATAATGCTCCACTCGATCAAGTGAAAACATTTAAATACTTGGGAATGATGATGAATGACCCAATGATGAATGAACAAAAAATAAAATGCCGTAGCGAACAAGCAACACAAGCTTTTATCAAATTTAAACCGCTACTATGTAACCGCAATATTTCCTTCAATCTCCGCTACAGGGTGGTTAAATGCTATGTGTGGTCAATATTGTTGTACGGCATGGAAACATGGACGTTAAGAGTACCTTCCATTAATAAGTTGGAGGCCTTCGAAATGTGGACGTTGCGAAGAATGTTCCGCATAACATGGACAAATAGGGTGAGAAACAAGGAAGTCTTAAGAAAGGCAAATACTGAGAGAGAACTACTCAATTTGATCAAGGTACGAAAAATTAGATACCTAGGCCATATTCTGAGAGGAAAAAAATACGTAACTAATCATCCAGGGAAAGATTGAAGGCAAGAGTGGACTAGGTCGCAAACAAATTATTGACAGAACTTAAAGAACTGGACAGGCATAAATAACACTGGCGATCTTTTGCATGCCGCAAAAGACAGACGTCTGGCCTTAAGATAATTCGCCAACGCACTGTAGGTACACGGTACTATAAGAAGAGGAAATGAAAAATCTAAATCTTTAAAGCTATTTTAAATAAAGTTACGATCGCTGCAAATAACGTTACGAGTAGTAAAGATGATATACAACGATTGATAACTATCATGGAACTAGAAGAAGAAGATATGCTGTAAAATAAAGTAATCTTCAAAAATCAGTCAGACTTACATACCGTCACAAAGATCTACGGCTGTTTCACATCGTTCACCAGTCCATTGTGGCGGACAGTTGCACCTCAGAGGTGATTTGGAATCTGGATTTTTAAGAGCAAGTACGTCCACGTAGCATACTCCGTGGTTTTTACAGTACTGTGAACATTTGTAATGCTCGCATCTCGGTCCTGTATATTGGGGAGGGCAAATGCACATGGGACCTTGATCTGGAATGATTCTGCATGTACCAGTGTGGCAGTTGAGGTAACAGTCGTTTGGTTTGGAGGTCGCTGCTTTACACGTCTGAAAAATATTAATAGAACATATAGAACATAAAGATAGAGATTAGCTCAATTGAAGTCATTCCATGTACTACGTAATGGATATGATTAGGCAATGTTGTTTCATTAAACACATCAACTCTACTCTAACTGCATTCTGATAGTACGGAATATTTTTTCCCGGAACCATTTTTGCATTTCAGCCTTTCGGCTGTTTGAGTGTGAATTTTTTCACTCCGGCGACTATGGTATGATGCATTGTTCATAACGATGAGCAGTTATCTACAACACGTTATAGAACATATTGAAACCACTTTTCGAAACGATCTGCATTCATATCCCCATGGTAATCACTGATTTTTTTTGATAAACAAATTAAACCCCTGCCTTTTAGAAAGAAGCTGTACCTTTCAATATGTGAGCCACTGTGAGTCGCAGTCCTTTACCTGTCAGTCCTCGGAATCCTTGAAATAGACATTCAACAAAAACTTGACGACAACTTATTACAGTAATGTCAGTCCACACATTTTTAACAGACTGTCCAGCAGAAAGTTTCGTCTAAATTATATATTTTTATATTTTGTTCACGGAACTCTTGACATTTTACGCAGATAGTTGCGACACCATATAAACGATACGAAAAACCCAACTGATCACGCTTATGAGTCATTTCACTTATTATTTGCCAGACTATAGTAGAGGCGTACCAACGCTTTCCATCAGAAATTTACCCATCCTGCTTTCGAGGGAGTATATTTTTCTTTGTAAAATTTATGAATTATTCTGAGTGATTTATGTGGGAAACGAGGCATATAAATCATTAATAGCAGTTACTTACCAAATTATCTTTGACATAACCATCAGGACAAATACAAGTTGCGTCTCTCGGTCTTAACAAGCAGAATTCACTATCAGGACAGTAGTCATTGCAAGTATTCTTCATCTTCATATGCTTATGTTCGTGCAAAATGAGAATATCGGAGATTCTTGTTAAACCTTGAACTAGATAGGTTATGTTTCCTTTTCCGAATTTATTCATCCTGAAAATATCGTGTTTGTTTTGGGTGGAAACAAAAAGGTTTTCTTCGAAGATTTCTATCTTGAATGGGCGGATATCTAAAAATTAGAAGATTCTCAGTAAATCATATAATTAAAATATTACCAAGCTTTGTCTGATTACCTTTGTCAAAATGTCTGATGACGTGCCTATCAGTTCCATCAAACAAAACGCTTTCAATAGTCATCGTTTTTGGGTCAGCCCAATATAACCTTTCGGTACCATGGTCAATAGCCAAGCCAGTAGGCCACGAGATGTCATTGCTCACTAAGATTCTTCTGTTTAGACCATCCATATCGGCCCTTTCGATTCTGGCTGCTGGACCCCAATCAGCCCAAAACATTAATCCGTGATCGGAAGCAACAACAATGTCTCTAAAACGCCAAAAAAATTATTAAAATACTTATTTATTTTATTTATTCATGGGATCACCCCATTATTACAAAACAAGAACCACAAATGAATGTAAAATGTTAGGAAGTAGGGCTGAAATCTGGAAAAACTACTGCTCAGAAGCATACAAACACACTTAAAAAATTTATCATTCTCAGAACACAAACAACATGCAATCAAAGAAGCAGAATCAATCAATTTAATAATAACTCTGTGTGATAGCAGCCCCCTAAATACAGACGAAACACGGTATTAATTCAGTGATGAATCGCGTCATATAATTTATTGGTAAGTAAATAATATTTCACTTTTAACAACTAGCACTCAAATATGCTACAGGTAAGTTCAATAAAAAAAATATTCTACGTGAACACAATGAAAGATGTACCTGGGAGCATCGGCCTTTAGCAAAGTATAATACAAATTGCCATCCAAACTGGACGCCAGCAACCTATTTCCATCGGTGATATACAGCCTTTTCGCAATCCAATCTATACTAATACCCCTAGGATCGCGTAAATTGGATAAAACCGTTTTAGCCACGTCCGCATCTCTGTTGGATCTACCGTCTTTGTCTATGTGAATAACTATGGACTGTACTCGTTTGGATTGATGATTCGTCCAATATGCTATAGCTTGTCGCCCACTTGAAAGTATATCTACAGCGTCTACCTTGTAACCTGGAGCTGTCGCTAAAGTTTTCCTAGAATAAAGAAATAATTATGTAACATAAAGATAAAAGAACTTTGGAATACCTATTTTAAGTCACTTACCTTTGCTTATTGTCATCATCTCCACTCTTATACGGAGACATTAACCTCAATTCAGCCTCTGCAGCCAGCACCAACTCAGCTAGCCCGCCCATCGCCTGGCACTGACCAGCGTCCGTGTGCCTGTATCCAGGCAAACATTTGCAAACAGTCTGATTGTGTCTGACCTCTACGCACACCTGGGAGCAGCTGTTCCATTTGCAAGCGGGCGTTTCACACTCCAGCTCGTCAGAGCCGTCTTCACAGTCTTCAGAGCCGTCGCAGCGCAAGGAGGCGTCGATACAGCGATGGCCTTCTTTGCACGAGAACTGGGTGGGAGGGCATAGGCCGTATCTATAAAAAATATCGAGAACATATTTCATACTTTCGGTGTAACTATACCAGAAATACAAGATATACATATAATACCGTTTACCTACCTCCTGCAAATATGCTTATCCTCATCGCTTCCATCTCCACATTGGTTCTTACCATCACACAATGTATTGATCGGAACACACCTGTGATTCTTGCATCTAAACCTGCCGGCAGGACAGACGTTTGAGAAACAGTTTTGCTCGTCTGAACCGTCCCCACAATCGTCTTGTCCGTCGCATCTCCACAGCTCGTTAATGCAAAAGCCGTTCTTACATCTGAAGTTATAGGGACAAGTGTCTGAGCAATTCGCTTCATCCGAACCGTCTGGACAGTCAACTTCGCCGTCGCATTTCCAGGATCTATGCAATTAAAAAATATATAAGTAAATTTATTCCATTAATTATTACGAAAATCTATTAAATGAACAACGTACACAGTTTCTAGACACACATATAGATAGAGTTGAAACGGGGTTAAATGAAGTGGCGATGATTACCGTAGAAGAAATAAAAAACGCATTACAAAAAATGAAAAATAATAAAGCTCCTGGGCCGGGTGATTTACCTATCGAATTATTCAAACATGCCACTGCAATAACATTAGAATTGCTTTGTAAAATGTTTAACAAGTGCCTACAAGGAGAAAGTATCCCAAGAGATTGGAAAGTCTCGTACATAAACTCCATCTACAAAAAGGGAAACAGGAATGACTGCAGTAATTACCGAGGTATCAGCATTACGTCATCCACTGGCAAACTGTATGAAAGAGTTCTGAAAGCCAGAATAGAAAAAGAAGCCACAGAGATCGAAGAACAAAGTGGATTCCGACCAGGGAGATCTTGTGTCGACAATGTATTTACTCTCAAACATCTAATAGAAAAGAGATTAGCAAGAGGACTAGAACTTCATGCCACTTTTATAGATCTCCGTAAAGCGTTTGACTCCGTACCACTGCAGAGACTATGGACAACATTGGAAAACGCAGGTATAAATGCAGTATATATAAATGCCGTGAAAAAGCTATATCAAGATAACCAAGCTTATATTAAGGTTGGAAAAGAAATTTCCAAGGGTTTCACCCAAACAAAGGGTGTCAAACAGGGCTCTTGACTCTCCCCACCCCTATTTAAAATATATCTTGGTAATGCTTTAAAATATTGGATGATAAAATGCAGCCCAATGGGCATATGGGTAAATGACACTCCTATATACACAATCCTCTTCGCAGACGACCAGGTAGTTCTTGCCGAGGACCTACAAGATATGACGTACATGATAAACAAACTAATAGACGAATTCAAAAAATGGGGATTAGAGGTTAATACCGAAAAGACACAATACATGAATATAGGAGGCATCGGTCAAGACATGGAAACAGAAAGCGGATTAATTAAAAACGTTGATCAGTACGAATATCTCGGAGTTACACTAAGCGAAGACGGGAGAGACGACAAAGATATAACAAGAAAAATAGGAAAAGGAAAAAACATGATAAAAACACTACATCCGATCCTGTGGAATAAAACTTTAAGTAAGAAAACAAAGAAAAATATATATCAGGCTATGATTCAGCGTATGGGTGCTGACGTATGGGTCAGAAGTATGGGTCTTTAACAAGAATATGTCACAAAAACTCCTCTCAACGGAAATGATGTACTGGAGAAGATGTTCCGGGTTAACTTTGTTTGACCACATAAGAAATGAAAACATAAGAGAGAGAATAAAAGTAAGGAACACAATAATGGATACGATAGCCGAAAAACAATTAAAATGGTATGTACACCTGAGACGGATGAACGAAGAAAGGATACCACGAAAGGTTTGGAACTGGAGACCTACACAGAGAAATAAAAGGGGAAGGCCAAGAAAGAAATGGATATCCAATATTCATATAGAAATGGAAAATAGAGGTCTTCAAGAAGGAGACTGGGCCGATAAGAAATTATGGCGATTGGGATGCGAGAAGCGACAAAATTAAAGTTGCAAACACTCGCTATATATATATATATATATAATATATATATATATATATATATATATATATTATATATATATATATATATATATATATATATATATATATATATAAATTTATTCCAGATTATTAATTTAACAATAAAGAATTTTACAATTACAAGAACAATTGGAAAACGGAAAATTAAGACGAGGGCGATAAACCACACCAAACCGTGGTTTTGTCAAGAGTAAAAGAACTCTCTGAATTAAAACGCAAATGCTACCTGAGATATAAAAGCACACAGATAAAAAGTCAGTATATGCAACAGAATGCTCCCAGTACAGAACAATTTTCTTAATAAGCCACACACTTAAGATATTTCTCAAAATAATACATGGAAGACTATACAAAAAATAGAAGAAGATATAGATGACACCTAGTTTGGATTCAGAGGAGGACTAGGAACGAGAGAGGCTCTGTTCGCTTTTAACGTTCTAACGCAAAGACGACTAGATATGAACCAGGATCTCTATGTCTACTTTATAGATTATCAAAAGGCTTTTGATAGAGTACGACATCAGAAACTCGTAAAACTGTTAAAAGAAAAGAATGTGGATAGTCGAGATATACCGGTTATTGTCAATCTGTACTGGAATCAAAAAACAAAGGTTAGAATCGAAAATGTCGATACAGAAACTATAGAAATCAACGGAGGTGTTAGACAGGGTTGCGTGCAGTCCCCATTGTTATTTAATCTGCACAGCGAAGCTATTTTTAAGGAAACAACGTGCCGAAACTTTGACGTTGACAGCTACAACTACTAAAATGCTGCAAATAGTTCAGAGGAAAATGGAAAGATCAATGTTGACTATATCGCTTCGTGACCGAGTTAGAAATGAAGACTTAAGACGAAGAATAGGACTTACCGATGTAATTTTCCGAATTGCCACACTGAAATAGAACTGGGCCGAAGTCGTCGCCCGATTCAGTGATGAAATGTGGACGAAAAGAATTACTTGAGTGAAGGTCGAGGTTAGACAAAAGAAGTAGAGCAGTAGTAGTCCTCTATTGGCTGGACTGACGATCTCAAGAAAATGTCAAGAAATTGTATGAAAAGATAGAGCACAATGGACAAACTGATATAATGATCTTGGATAGCATAAATTGAAAACAATTTTGATTTTATTACTTGGTAATTACCAAGTCCTTCAGTAATTACCAAGTCCTCCACTAATTACCAAGGACAAAAATCGAATTAACAAAGCTTAACTTAAAGGCCTTCATATGGCTTAAATAGAAGATATCCCTTAGCATGGGCAGCATTCGGAAGATTACAAACAGCATTTAAATCAAACTTACCAAAAACTTTCGATCAGTATTTGCTCAGTACTGACGTATGGAACTGAAACATGGGCTTTTAACAACAACATAGTCCAACATCACTCCCCAAAATGATTCAGAGAGCTATGGAACGGAGAATGCCCAACATTAAGCTCGCGGATCGCAAGTCCAATGAAGAAATAAAAAGACGAACAAAAGTTACAGATATAATCCAAAAGATTATGAAAATGTTAAATGTTAAATTATGAAAGATGTTAAAACGGAACTGGGAGGACACATAGGAAGAATGGAAGACAACGGTTGGACGCAGTGAATTATTGAATGATGATCAAGCAACAAAAAAAAACAACAAGCAGAGAATGAATAGACACAACTAAGTAGGCTTACATCCGACGATGGATGGAATAGCTGTTGATGATGATGATTTGTGTTAGGTATAAAAAAACTAACTTAATTTTAAATAACTTTAAAGGATCGTAACCATGACATAATAAAAAACAATACTTACAAAAATATACAAACGTTGGGATTAGAACACTGAAATTCATTGTTTTTACATTGAACGTGACAGTCAGCTTCATCGGACTTATCTTCGCACTGGTATTCGCCATCACATTTCATATCCCCTCGTATACATTTCATATTGTTGCATCTGAATTCCGATTCGGAGCAATTTCGAGGAACACAACCTAGAAGCCGAATAAAAAACGTTCAATCCAAAAAACTATAATTAAAATATGAGATTATAAAGACAAACTATATGAACACGTTCAATTAACATTCTCTTACCTTCTTCATCAGACCCATCTCCACAATCTCCTTCATAATCGCACCTCCAACGCCCGGGAATACATTTATTGTTATTACACTTAAAGTACGAAGGTTCACACGTATGGTAATCTGGATGGCTACAAGTCTTTGGTTCGTCTTCAGCTTCGGAGCAATCTGGATCTCCGTCGCACAACCAAGAATGAGGAATACATCTAAAATACATTAATATTGTTGAAACCAGATATATACAATTAACAGATGGTGAAACATACCTCCCAGAATTGCATCTAAAATGTTGCGGTCCACAAGTTCTGTCACTACAGTCTTGTTCCTCATCCGAGTTATCAACACAGTCGTTATCTTTATCACAAACCCATACGGCTGGTATACATTTGTCGTTGGCGCACTTAAACTGGTTTGGAGGACACGTTACTGGTGGACAGTTTACTTCGTCGTCTCCGCCTGGACAGTCTGGATGTTTGTTACAGCGTTGTTTCGCCGGAATGCATCTTGGAGGTATGGTTGAGTTGCCTTCGCACCTAAAAGTTCATACATTAAAAGCTACTACAGTTCGTACAAACCTGGTCAATGGGCAAAGCAGTGAAAACAAAAATTCATTTTCAGTAATAATAAAAAACATTTTTTTTAATTCCCACAAAATATCATCAACTTGAGATGATACATTTGTAGTGTACAAATTCGCTTCTTTCTAGAATTTATTTTCAAAGACCCACTCTGTATTTAGAGGTCCTCTCATAAATCCCGATTTAGCTGTTTTGATTTTCATTTTAGTAAATATTTGTTATTCGGTCCATTTATATTTTTTCAAAAGGTATTGCCGTTATCTCAAGTAGTATTAATTTTGAAAATTCGATTCTAAAATAGTTTGGCCATTTTCATCTTAAATTTTTAAATTATTTCCAGTAAAATAGTTATTTTTCGTAGATATTGTATTCCGAAACAAATTATTTATCAATAATTTTTTGTTAATTTAAAACATTGTTGAATAAAAAACTATTCCCCAAGCCACCAAATGGACAATCGCTGATCGAATAACAGTTCTCAGTCAACCAAATGGATCCATTTGTCGCAGTCGAGAGAATATTGTCATATCCAGGCTAACTGGCAGTAATTTTGTGGAGTCCCCAGTTTTTGATTGTGGACCTACCGTCTGACGCCTTTTGAAGAAGATCTTCGGGTGTAAATAATCCAGGGCAGCACCTGAAGAAGCCTTCAGACCACCAGCTAAGTTCCTTAATAAAATATATTACTGTCCTGTCAACAGAGACAGATTATTTTTATATAATTAATTTCCTAAATTCTAAAATGTAGATCTTGAACTGTGACCTTAATAAGATGAGAGAATTCTCCAATACTTCTACAATATTAAAAATAAAAATTCATCCTGTCAAGTAGTTTATACCGATGCATCATAAACACCCGAATTGGAAACAGTAGGATTCGCTATTGATTGCCATCACTATATTCTGCTGAACTTTTTGCGATATCCAAGGCAGTACAACAAACTCTTAATCGACCTGAAGACATGACAGTAATATTCACAGATTCCTTAAGTGCAATCCAGGGAATTCAGAACATATATCCGAATCATCCGATTGTAGAACAGATTAAAAAAGACCTTGTGACCACAAAATAATCATAAACAACTACATATTGTGTGGATACCATCTCATGTGGGGATACCAGGAAATAAGATGGTGGGATACCAGATATGAAAAAATGCATCAATGAGTACACAAAAAACTTATAGTTACGAAGATGGCAACGCTTACCAAATAATAAATTGCGGCAAGCAAACCCAGATCTATCAGCGAAAACACCAATTTTAGTAAAGCGAAGGGACCAGGTTGTACTATATCGTATCCAAATAGGACATACCAGACTGACGCACGAACACCTACTAAGGAAGGAACCTCCTAGAATATGCTACGCCTGTGACACCAAAATAACTATAGGCCACATTGTTATAGACTGTCCATTATATCAAAAGGAAAGACAAGCTACTGGACTACCAAGTGATATAAAGCGCGCTTTAGACAGTGTGGATTGTGACAAAATCATTAGGTTTTTAAAGAAAACGAAATTGTATAATCAACTATAAGTGAAATGAAATCGTAGGCTTCCACGGCCAGAGTCAGAATTATAGTTTATTCGTCTTCCGGGTTTGGACCGTGTCATTTGTGAGTGACCCAAAAGTGGGTTCATCTCGACGTTTCGCTACAATTATATGTAGCTTCTTCAGGAGAAACAAAGAAAAAGAAAAAAGAAAACAAAAGAACAGGAAGATGGGTAGTTAGCAACGGTAACTCAGTTACTCAACGCAACCAGAGGCGAATACTAACTACCAAGATGGGCATTTGGTCACAGTAACTCAACTACTCAACGCAGCCAGAGGTGAAAACCAAATGCCAGGACAGGGATTCACGTCCAACAGCTCAGAACACTAACGCGTCGAGAGGCGGGGAGTGAATCCGACGATTACTCCGCTACCGCTCTATTTATAGTCGCGGTGCCTGTCGTGTCGGGACGTATCGGCACACTTCGTGGCGCGAACGTCAAGAAGCGCGCGCTGGCCTATCATGTGGTGGCGGGACCGGATGGTGGCTCTAGACTGAGATTCCAGATGGGAGACAAGTAGTATCCTTCCTCTCGATTGATATTATGGGGATTTTTTCGGATCTCTAGAGATTCGCGGATTTTCCTGGAATAAAAGAAGGGGCTCTTAGAAATAATATGGGTTTTTTCGAACAATATGGAATGACCGGTTTCTTGGCAGTGTTCGGCAACTGCAGAATGGGAGAAAAGACCTGATCGAATGCATCTTTGATGCTCTTGAATCCGAGTTTTGACGGAACGACCAGTTTCGCCAATATACACATGTCCACATGAACAAGGAATAGAATAGACACCACAGGAAGATAGGGGCGGTAATGGGTCCTTAGGAGAGGGTAGATATTGTGAGATTTTCTTGGGTGGTCGAAAAGTAGTCCTGATACCTTCTTTGCGAAGAATTTTGCCAATCCTATCAGTGACATTTCGAATATACGGAAGAAAAGCCACAGGAGTATTACCCGAAGATTCTGAATTTGTTGTCCTAGGGTGTAAAGGGGGATGTAGATGTCGGTGTGTAATATTTTGAATTGTGGACTTGGAGTAACCATTGGCGACAAGGGTTTTTTGCAGATGGCCAAGTTCTTCTCTAAGGTTGTCGGGTTCAGAAATCGAAATGGCCCGATGGATGAGAGAGTTGATCACAGAATTCTTTTGGGCAGGATGGTGGTGTGTGTGTGGGCAGGATGCTGCAAAAAACCCTTGTCGCCAATGGTTACTCCAAGTCCACAATTCAAAATATTACACACCGACATCTACATCCCCCTTTACACCCTAGGACAACAAATTCAGAATCTTCGGGTAATACTCCTGTGGCTTTTCTTCCGTATATTCGAAATGTCACTGATAGGATTGGCAAAATTCTTCGCAAAGAAGGTATCAGGACTACTTTTCGACCACCCAAGAAAATCTCACAATATCTACCCTCTCCTAAGGACCCATTACCGCCCTATCTTCCTGTGGTGTCTATTCTATTCCTTGTTCATGTGGACATGTGTATATTGGCGAAACTGGTCGTTCCGTCAAAACTCGGATTCAAGAGCATCAAAGATGCATTCGATCAGGTCTTTTCTCCCATTCTGCAGTTGCCGAACACTGCCAAGAAACCGGTCATTCCATATTGTTCGAAAAAACCCATATTATTTCTAAGAGCCCCTTCTTTTATTCCAGGAAAATCCGCGAATCTCTAGAGATCCGAAAAAATCCCCATAATATCAATCGAGAGGAAGGATACTACTTGTCTCCCATCTGGAATCTCAGTCTAGAGCCACCATCCGGTCCCGCCACCACATGATAGGCCAGCGCGCGCTTCTTGACGTTCGCGCCACGAAGTGTGCCGATACGTCCCGACACGACAGGCACCGCGACTATAAATAGAGCGGTAGCGGAGTAATCGTCGGATTCACTCCCCGCCTCTCGACGCGTTAGTGTTCTGAGCTGTTGGACGTGAATCCCTGTCCTGGCATTTGGTTTTCACCTCTGGCTGCGTTGAGTAGTTGAGTTACTGTGACCAAATGCCCATCTTGGTAGTTAGTATTCGCCTCTGGTTGCGTTGAGTAACTGAGTTACCGTTGCTAACTACCCATCTTCCTGTTCTTTTGTTTTCTTTTTTCTTTTTCTTTGTTTCTCCTGAAGAAGCTACATATAATTGTAGCGAAACGTCGAGATGAACCCACTTTTGGGTCACTCACAAATGACACGGTCCAAACCCGGAAGACGAATAAACTATAACTATAAGTGATACTTCAAGAAACATTCTAAATTATAATCAACTTTGTAAAGACTTTATAGTTTATATTTTATATTAATCATTATAATTATATTATAGTAAATATTGTACCACCGGTAATAACCTTCTATGGTTGATGAGGGTTATTCCCAAATAAAAAAAAAGATGAGAGAATAAAGCGTTTATACAGAAATCCAGCCTCTTAACTGATAGTCTATTGTATGCACAGAGAATGCAAAGGAGTAGAATACAAAGTCCCATAGAGATCTTATGCTCACGGTGTTGATGTTGACGAAGTAATATTGAATTTGTTTCTTGGACCAATTTTTTTCACTTAGAAATAAAATCAATATTTCATTATCAACGATAAGAGAACAAAATTGGCGCCCAACGTGGGGCATAAAAGCTTGATCGACATGCCAATTTTAATATTTTAAAGCAGGCAAAACAATTTGTAATATACTATTTATTACTGTTTTATCACTGACTACCTAAGAACTTCCTTTTAGACTTATAGACTTCCAATATGTTTGCCAATTTAGGATTATCTGTATTTTAAAACTGTATCTGTATACAGTACAAAAATCAAAGGTTTCAAACTGGAAATTTTTTCAATATGCATTGATTGTATAAACAAGATTAGTCTTTCTAGTAATTCGAACATTATCCAAACCAAAGCAATTAGTCGATATCTTTTTGGATAATCAACTGGTTTCGCCGTTTTTGTACAACTATTAATCGGTTAAAATTCTCAAGAAACAGCAATAGTTTACGTGATATTTACCAAAAATATGTTAGCTAAGTTTTAACATGTACAAAAACTTCTTACCTGAACTGTGTATTAAGACAAGTATAATCCTCACAATCGTTTTCATCTGAACCATCTCCACAATCATTTTTGCCGTTACACAAATCGGAAGGATGTATACATTGTCCGTTCTTACACTGATATTGCCCCGGCATACATTTGAATACAGGACAGTCTGGAGGTTCGTCGCTACCATCACCACAATCATCTTGAGTGTCGCATTTCCACCAGAATGGTATGCACTTGTAGTTAACTTTACATTCGAAATGGACTGTCGTGCAGTTGGCTACACAAGATCGACCATCTTTGCCTAAAACAAGGTTAAACAGTCAGTAAGCACTAAATGTGGCAAACTGACGACTCTAAATTTACATTTTCACTACTAGACTACTTACAAAATGTCATGAATCTGACTCATTGTCTGGTGACGTCAATCGATGAACGAAACAATGAAGTCCGGCATTAATGAGAACAACTAATTGTCTGCAGTGCGTTCTCACAGCAAGGCAGAGTCGAACTAGTTTTGAATTAGTTGAATAGTTGGAGTTTTATTGTTTTTCAGCTTCAGTTCTTTCAGCTTCAGTTCTCAGCTTCAGTTTTCAGTTCTTTCAATAGTCGTTAGTAGAAAAACAAATTTCGTACAAATCAAAACAAACACAAGTCGTAAAATTGTTTTTGAATATGTTTACAAATGGAAAACTGCGGGAGATGCTTAGACATTATAACTTTTGACATACCTTGACCTAATTAAAACCAAACTGGCTGAAAACTTTACTCTTTGAGTGTAATACTTACCCAAAATGAAGTTTGCTGGGCATGCGCAAGTGTAATAAGGAGCAGATGGTGTCAAAAGACATAAAGCTGAACAATTTGCTGTCAAACATGGATTGTTTTTAACAGGAGGCTGCTTGAAGGGATGGACGACACGGATATCCATAGGACGATGAACTGTTGACAAAATAGACTTGCAGTCTTCTCCACTATACTTGTTACACCTATAAAGTATTGATTACTTCACAAAGCGCTTATGGATTTCGATCCAAAACTTACCTTTCGACGGTTTTAGTCTCCCAGTCAGTCCAGTAAATATAATCTTCCCAAACATCAATGGCAAAAACATGATGAAGCTGCAATTTGGGATTCCTCTCTCTGCTAGCTACAATTTTTACGTTATTACCGTCCAAATCGGCCACAGCGATATAATCTTCCCTCGCATCAGCCCAGAATATCTCACTGGTCTCATACGAGACGGTTAAAGCGTTAGGCCATCCTAAATTATTCTTTACGATAATCCTTGGATTAGAACCGTCCATGCCTGCCTTGCCGATATGAACACGAGATCCCCAATCGGACCAATATAAATATCCTCTGGTGGGATCTAAGGCTACAGCTCGGGGCTCTTCCAGACCTTTAGAGTGGAGAACACGACGGAATTTACCGTCTAGACTGGATACTTCGATGGTATCTAATCCCTATAAAATTAAATTATTTAAATAAAAATAAGCAACTCGAATTAATCTCACATATAACTTGTCACCTTTGTGATTTAAAATGATCCTACATCAAAAATTGCCACTATCAGGTTAGTGTAACGTTTTTCTTCCTATAACGAATAATTGTAAAATGATGTATGAAGAAATAATGTGTACCCAAAAATATAGAGCTACCAAGGCCAAGGTTAGTAACTCACACAAAAGAATTCAAGCTTACGTTTAAGCCCTTTTGATTCCTTTTGTAATATAAAAGGGGAGATGTTTGTCAGGAATGTAATAAAACTCACATGCCATTGGTGTTTGTGATGAAACAGTGGCTACCTTAGATAATGACAAATATGTAAAAGAAAAGCCCTTGAAGAAAAAAGTTTTTAACTTATTAGGATAAAAACGGAGTATTTGGAATGTTCATCTAAAGATGGAGTTACCACTACAAATAAAATGATGGTGGGTGGTGAAATGATTGTGAAGTTATAGTTTTAAATATCTAGGATCGGTATTACAGAGCAATGAGGAAATAGATGGAGATGCATGCAGTCGTAATAGTGTCGGATGGATGAAGTGAAGAAAGCGATTGGGGTGTTGTGTGACAAAAAGATTTCAATGAAACAGAAGGTTAACTACAATATAGAGAACTAAATGTTAAGCAGAGTTAAATAATGGGTTCCTGGGAGGAGTAGGAGTGGAAAACCAAGGAATAGGGGAGGCGCTTAGGCAGGATATTGATATTGGTAAATTAATATTGATAGCGATATGACAGAAACTTATGCAGAAATGTAATAAGGGGAGCCAACGACGCATGGAGATAAAGGCGAAGAGAATGACGATTAGCGACAGGAACAGTAGGTCACGTTGTTGGTCACTATTTTGGTCTGCATTTAATTTATCAAGAGAGTTATTATATGTCAACGTTTAGTGTAATAAACTTGACTTAGATACTACAATAATAATTATCAAGAAAGAATAGTACTTACTTTATCACACCAATACAAGTTTCTTCCAATCCAGTCCACCGCCAGGCCGTCAGGATTTTGCAAAGTAGGTGAATGCAATACTTCAACGTCCGTGGAATTTGTCTTGTAGTCACAAAGTCTCTTTATAGAAGATCCCAATTGAGCTACGTCCGACCAGTAAATACACTGGGTTGACCAGTCGTAATCTAAAGCCACAGCATTCGTTAGATTGTGGGCCAGGAGACTGCTGTGACCCATAAGGTCAAGCTCTCGAATATAGTACCTAAAAATATAAACATTATGTTAGTACTTCTGAAATTGATTAAAATAGGGAAGTATTACGACAATATAATAGCAAAATAAAGGGTTGGAAGTCTAAGAAATGATGTTAGAGCAGATACATCTTGCAGCCACCAAATGGTAATTGCTCTACAGTATTGGAAGATTCAAAACGGAACATACGAATTATTAATACAATTATTAAGATCCCCTGACCTGCAATTACCTAGTGTAAATTTCAATATAACGTCGCGATGTCTTATAATTATTTCATTTGTTCGACTGGATTGCTACTCCTTCGCGATTTCTAGAAGCGTATTCGACAGGTGTACGTCGACACTGTTGTCTATCGTCCACTGATTTTCTGTGTTTTTGTGCAGATAATAACAATGTTTTATTAATAACAATTTTTTTGTGTTCATTAGATATTATTTGAATTGGTTAGTGTATAGTTTAATATATTTATTATTCCAAATATTGTTGATAATTTAAAATTTAAAAGGATGTATATGATACATCAAAATCTACAGATTTTTGCAGAAGGTATCTATCGATTTGGCAACAGTCCCAAGGAACATCACTGGCCGAGCAAAACAAATACATGCCCTTTGCTTTGCTTCTCATTATAACGCCATAAGCTGAAATAAAAGTAGTGTTTCTAACCATAAACCATGTATACAAACAAAGAAAAAGTACAAATTTTAAAATGGTATTATGGGGGCAACTCGTACCGTGATATTATAAATTTATTTACTTGTGCGTATGAAGATAGGCCAATACCGACACAATCAACTATTAGTCGTATTATTAAAAAATTTGAATCGTTTCGTTGTGTACAAAACTGTCAAAAATGTACGGATCTACCACGAGAGAAAATAATTAACGAAGTTAGGCAAAATAGGGAAATTGATGTCTGTAGTCTTGCTGAAACTAGTGATCCTTGTTCAAGCAAAACTATTGCTGAAGAAGTTGACATGAATGATAGGACTGTCAGGAATATTTTGAAACGGAATGGTTATCGTTGTTTTAAGGTTTCAACAACTCAAGAGTTATTAGCCGAGGACAATTTCAAGCGTATGGAATTTTGTGAACTGATGATGAATAAACAAAATGAAAGTGAACATCTTTTAAAAAACATTTTGTTTACCGATGAATCGACATTTTCGTTACATCGGAAACATAATCCTTCTATCGTACGATATTGGTCTCGGCATAATAAACACTTGAGTATTCCAGTACGAACACAGTATCCCCAAAAACTTAATGTTTGGACAGGTATTTTGGGGGATTATATCGTCGGTCCATTTTTTATTGATGGTAATTTAACGGGAAATAAATATTTAGAATTGTTGCAAAATCAAATTATTCCAGCAGTTCAATTACTTCCTGTCAACTTTGACGATATTTGGTTTCAGCAAGAAGGCTGTCCTGCTCACAATACACGAGCAGTTCAAAATTATTTAGAAACCATTTTTGGAAATAAATTAATTTCTTCTCGTGGTACGATCAAGTGGCCTCCCAGATCACCAGACTTATCCCCAAATGATTTTTTTCTTTGGGGATATGTAAAAACAAGTGTTTATCGACATGGTTTTAAAAGAGCCCGAAATTTAGCGGAATTGAGGAACAAAATAATTCATCTTTGTGGAAGCATTAGACTGGAACTGCTGAGGGATATGAGACTATCTTTGTACAACAGATTTGGTTATTGCTCCGCAGAGAGAGGTGGAATATTTGAACCTCTATTACGTTGAAATTTTGTTTTTAATATTATTATGTTACTTTTGGAATTCATTTTTATTTTAATTTTTAGAAATCTACTTTTTTTTATGCCATTATGGCAATAAAATATAACAATTTCTTTTAATAAAATAATATTTTAATTCCATATCTACGTAATATTGTAGATTTTTGGCGCTTTGAGATATAGCCCCTACTGTATTCCGTTTTATACTAGTAGCGGCTTGGCGAGATGCAAGATTTTATTATTCTATGATCGTTTGTGTTTAGTAAGGTGCGCACGTGCGCAGCAGTCGAAAAATATCGACTGGAGAAGGAGTCCAGTCGAACAAATGAATTAATTATAAGACATCGCGACGTTATATTGAAATTTATACTGGGTAATTGCAGGTCAGGGGATCTTAATAATTGTATTAATAATTCGTATGTTCCGTTTTGAATCTTCCAATACTGTATAAGATATACCACAGGTTATAAACCAAGAGCTGTCAGAATTTTTTTAGAAAATGTGTTGTATTTTTTGTGTAAAACTATACACTGCGCTGCAAAATTGATGCAAAAGAAACAGATAATCCTTTCTAGTAACGGGTATAGCCACCTCTATCATAATTATGTCCTGATACCTCGTTGGCATACTTAAAATTATTCTGATTTGGGTCTGCAAGTTCCTGGTAGGAATAAAAGAGAAAAACCAAAGAACACCTGGGATAAGACAGGATAACTAATATGGATAAACGCTAAGAAAATAATGATGACCATCGAAATTGGTAAAGCAAACTTTGACTTTGACTTTGAAATAAGAGATATTGAAATCAAATTGAAAGAATGTAATCCCCGCAGAGATATTTAGAAACAGAGATATCACAGATTTTTTGCACTTGTTTAGTTTTTTGTTGGATTGACATTTCATAATGAACTTTTCAGCTAAAAATAGTGGTCTTAAATGTAGCCGAGGTTTAAAAAGATTTAACTAAGAGATTATTAGTAGGTAATCGACACCTACTAACAATCGAAGTGCACCTAAAACAACTGTAGAGATTTGCACTAAATTTAGACAATCTATAATAGATCTAGTTCATGCATAATAAAAATGTACATTCATCTTAGGAAAATGATCGTATTTATAAATATTCAAGCGAAATCCCAACCTGTCACAAATATATTTTTTCAAGACACACGCTATACAAATTTTACGACTTGATAACGCAAATATGACTTTTAATATATAACTTACCTATTCGCCAGTATAAGATTGACCTTGACACTGGAATTAGCCCTGCAGGAATGCTTGTCGAAACTCAAAACATAATTGTCGTTACAACTGCAATGGTACGAGCCCCTGGTGTTCCTACAGATCTGGCTGCAGGGTTTCTGTTGGCATTCGTCGATATCTTCACAATGGTGGGGATCTTTCGGGCTTACTTTAAAGCCGTGTTCACACCGGCATTCGTATCCTACCGGTTTGTCGATACAAGTTTGGGCACATGGAGGCGGTGAGGCTGTGCACTCGTTGATTTCTGCGAATAAGATAATTGACATAATTACGTATTTTGACAGTATTTAAGGATAACCCGCTGATATTTCTTCAATCAGAATATAAAAAGCTAACAAGATATTTCCAAGTATTTCAAAAAACAAAAAAGACTTCGAATAGTACCTAACAATACCGAATAGTACAGTAATAATTGTCTATGTACATACAGCAATTTTGTGTGTAATTTTAGAAACTAACAGCAATAAATATTAAAGTAGAACATTGAAAGAAGTCTGACTACAGAGACAGTTCTATTTCCATTTATAACTATATTTAGGTAAAAGTTTATGGTCGGTATAGTAGAATTTAACAGGATATTTAACACAGATATAAAATCATATTTTCAGCGAATAGACAAAGATAACAATTATATTTCCACTTGGTCTTCCCTCCACATTCCTCATGCACGCCCATTAGTGAACGCCAGGCAATTATTTCCGATTCAGCTTATATATAAGAAACAGCAGCAGGGTTACCTTATTACATATTTGAATTATAGTCCTTTTCCATCATATTGATAGCACATTATGTATGCAAATCCTCAATAGGTGAAAAAACCATAGGCGTCACCCTATACTTGTTTTGAAATAAATAAAAAAGTTAATATTTTAAGATGCCGTCAACAATTCATTATCTTTTAAAAATATTCTGTAAAATAAGTGTCCACCAATCTCACTATACCTTTTTTGTGCGTAAAAAACGTCGGTATATATGCCACACGATTATTGTTAATTATACACGAGTGATTAACGAGAGAATTCAATGTTTCACGAAATAAATTAATGTAAACAGTAATTTAAAGGTGATTATTGTTTTCTATACAAGTTCACCAGGTAGAAATTGTATGATTTCTCTTTTTATTATTAAATTATTACCAATGTAAGTCAGGCCGTGGAGTTTAGGGGTCTACATTGTAAAAATGACATGCACCCTATCCTCCATGCTATGGCATGCTGGACGAGCCATACAGTCTGTAGTCGACACCCCGAGGTATGAGCGGGAATACAAAGTGTACCGATACTCATACGCTTATGAAACGTACCTGGCGGATCATAAGGGTCTTCACATTTTGCTCTTTTTCAACTTGTCTAGAGTGAAATGTCTTTAATCTTTCCTATCGGCCTCTCTTGGCAAACTCTTGTTTTTCTGACCCCGAGTGGCTATTAGGGTAATCCGAGGGCGGACGGGTCACTATAATTCTGTCTACTACACTCTACTACTCTTCTCTCGACTAAGGGAGTAAACCCTAACAGAAAATCCTGGTCCTCCTGGTAGGGAGGTATCAATATTGATAAAAAAAGACTTAAAAGGAAACCTGAAAAGCTGGGAGCAGATCAATGAGAGAATTATTAGAGTATCTATTACGTGGAAAGGGCACGACCTCGAGATCATTGGAATATATACTCCGTCAAAAAATGCATCAAAAGTAGCTAAACAAAGCTACTAGTTGAAAATATAAATAGCCGCAAAGAAATTGTGCTGTTGGGAGATTTTAACGCTTGGACAGGAACAAAAATAAATGACAAAGTCGTAGAAAAATATGGTGACGCTAAAACAAATGAAAATGGGGAACACTTAATCGAATTCTGTGAACAGCACTCTCTGAAAATCCTAAACGGATTCTACCAACATAAAAACATACATAAGTACACCTGGGTTCAACCAACGAGAAACACAAAGTCGATTATAGATTATGTCATCACAAAACAAGAAACACACATACAAGTTGAAGACATAAGAGTATTAAGAGGACCGGAGTGCGGAACTGACCACTATATGGTAAGATCAAAATGTTACCTACAGTATCGACCTCGGCTACTACATCAAAATGACAACCAACTAGCTCAATCAAAACCCCCGGAATCGAATCTACCTAAATACAATATTGATGCACTGCAAAACGACTCGACATCATTCTTATATAAGCTGCGACTTAGCCAAAAATTGGCAAACCTGATCTACTCCTCAGCCCAGAATACCTATAAAGAGATAATCAATAAAATCAATGAAGCAGCTTACGAAGCGCTCGGCACAATCCAAAAGAACAAAAAGAATACTCCATTGTGGTGGACAAATGACATCGCCAATGCAGTACACAACAAGAAACAAGCATATCAAAAGTGGCTGCAAACAAATGATCCAGATGATAGACGAATATGAAAGATCAAACAGAGAAGTAAAAAATTTAGTAACTAAAGCAAAAAATATTTCATGGGAAAGTAAATGCGAAGAACTCAACAAATATATCGGGTCAACAAGATCAAGAGAAGCATGGAAAACGGTAAAAAATCTGAGAACAAACAGAAAAGAAACGAGTAGAATAGATTTAATAGAAGACAAATTTTGGATCGAACACTACTCAGAACTTTTGACTGAAACAAGAGCTCAATTCACGAACATCAGTACAACAACATATGAACTGGAATTCAGTGAAGACGATGAAATAACAGTACAGGAAGTCGAGAATGCAATACGAACTCTAAAAAATGGGAAGTCATACGGACCACAAGGTATACCAAATGAATTATTAAAACATAGCCCACAAGTATTACGGGAATTACTGGCGGATGTCTTCACCTTATTCTATAATGGACACGACTTGCCACCGGAGTGGACAAAAACACATATTAACAACATATACAAAAAATTGTATTCTCTCTAAAGCAAGTTATCGAGAAAAGATTAGCCCACAACCTTTCAACTCATATAGTCTTATAGATCTGACAAAGGCATACGATAGTGTACCACTTTCAATGCTTTGGGTAGCAATGGAAAAACAAGGAATAAGCAAAAAAATATACAAGCAGTACAACAGCTCTACAAAAATATGACGGCAAACATTAAAACTGGAAATAGATTAACTAGAGAAATTCCTATTAGTAAGGGCCTAAAGCAAGGCTGCTACATAGTACCTACACTCTTCAAAATATATCTAAATGAGGCACTCTCACTTTGGAGAAGAAAGTGCTGCAATATGGGCATCCCAATCGGAGATGATAGATTGTACACGATACATTTCGCTGACGACCAAGCCATTCTAGTTGAAGACGAGAATGATATAAGCTACATGCTTAGAAAACTGGAAGATGAGTACACCAAATGGGGCCTCACAATTAATATACAAAAAACTGAGTACTTAGTTGTAGGTGAAAAACCAGAAAGCCTACAAATCGAAATGGGAACTATAAAACCAACAGACAATTTTAAGTACTTGGGAGTCCAAATAACATCAAAAGCAGGAAGTAGCGAAAAAATACATTCCAGGATTGGCTAAGCAAGATCAGCCACCAGACAGCTACACGGACTATTATGGAATAAAAAAATAACAAAAGAAAATAAAAGAAGAATTTATAAAACAATAATAGAAAGTATTAGACTGTACGGCGCCGAACTCTGGGAAATAAACCAAAGAAACAAATCAAAAATTAAGGCCATGGAAATGAACTACTGGAGACGATGTTGCCAGCTCACTAGACTTGATAGGGTAAGAAACGAAGATATTCGGAGAGAAATGGAAATCGATCTAGATATAATAGACACAATCGAAGCCAAAAGACTTAACTGGTATGGACCTTCAGAGAATGCCGGAAAATATATGGCCAAAAAAAATAGAAGAATGGACTCCGCCAACTAGAAGAAAACGAGGTAGACCAAGACGATCCTGGAGAGACGATGTCGACGATGCAATGACCGCCAGAGATCTAAAAACTGAAGATTGCTTCGACAGAAATTGCCTCGACGCTGGAAATTAGGATGCGAGAAGCGGCGTCAGCTGTAGAAGACTCGCTTGTTATTATTACCAATTAATTTGGTTCTTCGCCATCAAACTCGAACAACTGAAAGTGGGAAAATTTTGGAGACATTAGATGGACTTTTCGGTTTGAACCGGAATCAAATTTACGGATTTAATTCTGCTTTTTCTTCTAAAAACCTGAATGTTTTAATACTTTCATGGTTCATAAGTTAAGCTATGAGTTAATCTAGAAATTAACGTTTCTACTACTACTACTACTACTACTTTCATTCACTAAGGTAAATGTAGAAGTAATAGCTAGCAGTAGACTATAGATGTGGAAGAATAAGTAGCATATAGATATAAAGGAAACTAAATTTAGCGACTTTTAATAAAAACATAAACTTACTGCATTTGTTTTCATCTGAAAAGTCCCCACAGTTATTCTCGCCGTTACATAAAAGTGTTTCATTGATACAAACACCATTGTCGCAATAGAACCAGCCCTTTTCTTTGCAATAATAGTCATCACTTTTTGGATCGCCGCATAACGGCGTTTCGTCACTACCGTCTCCACAATCGTCTTTTCCGTCACATTTGGCGGCTTCGGGAATGCACTTGTCGTTCTCGCATCGGAATTCGTCTGAGTCGCAGGTTTTGTAACAATCGTGCGGTTCGTCTGAGCCGTCCGTGCAGTCCCTGTCTCCGTCGCAGTAGTAGATTTTGCCTATGCATTGCCCGTCTGAGCATCGGAATTGGTTCGTGTTACAACTGACGAATTTGCAATCCTAAAAACCAAAAGTAATTTTCAGTAACAAAAACCAAAAAGTAACGACTATTATCCATAGAAATACAATCAAAATGGTTACAGACGTTACCTGAGTACCTGAACAATGTTGCAGGAACACTGAAATCTCATCTCCAACTAGATTCTTAATTAAGATCTAAACGTATGTAATATTTCTGTATGACCCTTTTATTTATCACTAATTCACAACCTGGAAGAACTCACAAAATGTTGCAAAAAGTTTTGTTTCGTTTGCTGCAGAGAGGAGCCAGTCTATGTTTAAATTTGAATGAATGATTTAGATTAGATTTAGCTTAGATTTGAAATAAAATAATCTTTATTGCATATACACCAAAATATTTTTCTTCATTTTTGATTTTGTTGTATTCTAAATTTACCAAATTATATACTCTACAAATTATGAATTGCTTGACTATATTCAAGTAACTTGCTATGGATTTCATTAACGTGCTCTCTAGATGACAAGATTCTAACCTAGTTAGGTTTTTTAGTTGCTTTTGTAGGATTTCAAGTAAAAATAAAAGGTGCGAGTAAAATACGTAGCTAACAAAAAGAGAAAATGACAAAAGCCTACCTCTAACATGTGTTCATCAGCATTATCAGGACAATCCGCCTCACCGTCACAAACCCAAGACATTGGAATACATCTGCCGGTAGCATTACATCTGAACTCGTATTTAGCACAAGTTGTCGTCTGACAGTGCGTGCTTTCATCGGATTGATCGTTACAGTCTGGATTTCCATCGCACTGCCAAGATTTTGGAATACATTCATTGTTAGTGCACTGGAACTGGTCACTACGACAATGCTTGTGGCAATTTTCTTCATCGCTTTGATCCAAACAATCAGGAATACCATTGCAACGCCACGATATAGGTATACAAGTGGAGCCGTTCTCGCACATGAACTGATCATATCGACATTGGTTGTTGGTTCCACAACTTAACTCGTCTAAAGCGATGCCGCTATTGTCGTCGTCTAAACAATCAGCTACTCCATTACATCTTAATCGCAAATCGATACAGGCACCATTAAGACACTGAAATTGATCTTTATCGCAATTTGGTCTTGAAACTGTGCAATTGTGTTCGTCGGAATTGTCCCAGCAATCATCATCACCGTCGCAGAACCAATCTTTATGAATACAGGTTGTAGTAAACTTGCAATTAACAAAATCTTTTCCGTGTTTTTCTGTACAATTCGGCATTTCACATCCAATTTCATCAGTTTTATCTTGGCAGTCTGGTTCGTTATCGCATCTGTGCGCTATATCTAAACACTCCCCATTTTTACATCGGAAATGAGTCTCTTCTGGACAAGAACAATTTTGTTCATCAGTGGAATCTCCGCAATCATCTATTCCGTTGCAAGTTAAGTTTAGAGATATACACATTTTATTTTGGCACGGGAACCAGCCCAACGGACAGCTACGGTATCCACAATACCCAGGTTCTTCGTCGGATCTATCAGCACAATGTGGGATACCATCGCAAGTGAGATGGAAGGGGACACAACCGCCATCTGAACATCTGAAAGAGTCACCATCGTTTGTACAGTTGGTCAAAATTTTGGCATGGCATCGACCTTGTTCGGAAAGCACTCGACCCTCTTCACACGAACATTCCACTTGACCAGAAGCTGACAACCCGCATATTTCTTCACAGAATCCGTTTTGGATCAAACACGGATTTGAAAAACAATCCTCCGTGTCGTTGGCTACTGTGATTATACCCATAGGTCTAGCTACATCTCTTCTGAGCAAAACAATGTATTGTCCCGTGAATTTATCTGCTCTTATGACCGCATGAAGCATCCAGTCGGTCCAGTATATAAAGTCACCATACACTGCCAAAGCAAACGGATGTTGTGGTGTAACTTTCGCTAATACGACTCTCTTAGTTCCATCATATTCACATCTTTCAATTTTATCCAATCGTGCGTCACCCCAGTACAGTTTCTGCGCCTTGTGATCTAAAGTAATGGCATTGGGCATTCTAATATCGGTTTTGATTATACTCTCTCTTCCGAAGCCCGTCAAAAATGCTCTTTCTATTGTTGGTTGCTGCGGATTCCAATTGGACCAATATACTCTACTGCCACAACTGTCAACAGCGATGCCACGAGGTTTATCTTGAGCACGCATGCGTACTATCGTTTCTACAGCACTAGCGTTTTTAATTTGGCCTGTCAAGTTAACTCTATTAATAGTAGCGTCGTTATTGCAAGTCCAATATAGAGAATTATAGACCTGTTCGTATGCTAAGCCTTCTACAGAACCTTGTCTTTCCACTATGATTCTATGATCACTGCCGTTGAAGTATACGGCATTGATGGAACCTTTCTGAATATCAGAATAGAACAATCGTTGATGTTTGTAGCTGAATGACAAACCGATGGCGTTCTTCAACATAGTGTTATTTTTAATAGTTGGCTGTGGTGAATTTTGAAGATTCTTGTCTCCAATCATTTGTATAGAGTCAATGCTGATGACTCTAGAATACATGACGAAACTTTCAAAAGGTTCGCAAGTTTTTCCGTCCGCAGTAATTCTACCATGAGAACAAACGCACACTGGATGGGTACCATTAAACAAACACAATTGTTCACAACCGTCGTTATTATTAGCGCAAGGGTTAGTACCAGATTGTTTCTTTTTAGAAAATATTTGAATATCTTTCAAAGAATCTCCTAGATCGCTTAACAGCACCTTGAAGTCTGACATATTAGAAGCAGAAGCTGTAGATATGCTTCCTCTCTCGTACGTAGTGTCCAACCAGTAGACTTTGTCGTTAAATACAGTTAAAGCTATAGGATTTTCTAACGATTGATTCAGCATTACAGATCTGTTTTGTCCATCGTAGCTCACTCTTTCGATGGTATTTGCCTGTATATCAGTGAAATATACAAACTCGTTGACTGAGTCAAAAGCTACGTCAGAAATAGATTTGGCATCGTCAACTAAGAGTTGTCTATTCTGTCCGTCCATAGTTGCTATTTCTAATTTAGACCCACCAGCCCGTACTAAATATCCTCTAATCGGATCCACAGCCAATGAATTCGGTTTCCCTATTTCATATGAAAATAAAACATTTTGTTTAGAGCCATCCAATCTTGCTACTTCAATGGTACCTCTCTTAGAATCGCACCAGTAAATATTTTTAGCGATCCAGTCAATTGCTATACCCGTTAGCCAGTCGACGAGGATATTCTCCAGCATTTCTGGTTGTTCTAAAACAAAACTCCTATCAGTACCATCTCTTTTAACTCTGCTCACAGTTCCGTGGTCACTATCTGCCCAAAATACAAAATCATCAGCAGCTACGAAGTCGATTGTTGTTGCACTGGAGATTCTCGAAATCGGACCCAAAACTTGAGTATCATTTTTTCCATCTAGAGATAACCCCTGCAGTTCCCAGTTTATTGAATAAAACAAGAATTCTTCCATTCCCACACATTTAAACGCATTAGTTGGATCTGGATTGTAGCCTGTAGCACATTTGCAGGTGAATTTCGTAGACGATATAGGAATACACAAATGCTGACAGCCTGCTCTATTGTTCTGGCAAGGATGCGCCCCCTGTTGCTCACTGGGGTCGTATATTCTCAAGGATAGTACCCCACCAGTGCTGTTTCTTAGGATCAAATCATTTTTTCCTGTTAATTTATCCACTGAGTGTACAGATTGGTCGTTATCGTCTGCATAGTAAAGTTTGTCGTGATAAACTGTAACAGCGGATACAGATACTTGTTTCGATAGGTTTAACTTTTGTACATCACTACCATCTAGGTTACTGTAGTACACCTCTAGGTCGCTAATCCAGAATAGTTTAGATGATTTAATATCAAGAGTGAGACTCTTCGAACTGGATTTAAGATTAGGAACGATTGTTTTTCTTGAGGTTCCATCCATGGCGCTGGTCTCTACAGATTCTGTGTCATTTACCGAAGATATCCAATATAGGTTGCCTCTAGGAGGATCGACACACACAGACAAAACGTTGACATTGTCTACTATCTTTGTTATAAACTCCCCTTTAAGGTTCGACGCCATGATGCCGGCTTTTGATGATACGTAAAGCAGATCTGAGATCCAATCAAGTGCCAGACCTGAAGGATTCTGTAGTCCTGTATCTAAGAGTGTTTCTGAAGGCCCGTGTGTTAAACTAGTTCTTTTTATTTCGTTGATATGAAAATCTGCGAAATAAAGAGTACGGTTTCGGGAAAGGTATTCTATTTGAACAGGACTAACGACTTGTGGAATACTTATAGTGGGTATAGTGTGGTAGTAGGGCTGTAAGATGTCTACCCCTCTGATTTCATTAGTTTTAGCTATCAGGAGAACTTTGTCGTTAACGACACAGGTCTTGTTGTCTTCACTGAGTCGCATAATATGAGGACAGTCACATTTATATGTCTTATTGAAGTGTATCAAGCACAAGTGAGAACATCCACCGTTGTTGGTTCCGCAAGGATTAACGCCATCTGTCGGTTGTCGGCTGGGGTGTAAAATTTTGATGTCGAAAGGTTGAGAAAGGGTTCTTTGTATTACTTTGACGTCGCCTCCTGTGAATTTGTTGGCTCTGAATACGCTGTTCGTACGCCAATCTGAAACAAGAGATATCAAAAATTTAAAAATAAAACACTCAAAACTTTTGTTTCCAACACTTCCCCAAAATTTATTATAATTTATTATCACTAAACCTGTTACTAAAAACTGTTCTTAAAAATAATCCATAATAGGATCTATAGGAAATTAGACGTAGACATCAGTAACACTCAGATGGGATTCAGAAAAGGGCTGGGTACAAGGGAGGCTCTGTTTGCAATGAACGTTCTCTCACAGAGATGCTTAGACATGAATCAAGAAATTTACGCCTGCTTTATTGATTTCGAAAAGGCCTTTAACAAAGTACAACATGAACCACTAAGACAAGTTCTAATAAAGAAAAATATAGACAGCCGAGATATTCGAATTATATGCAATCTATATTGGAATCAAACAGCAAATGTCAAGGTTGAGGGCAGACTAACAGAAGAAATTCAAATCCGTCGAGGAGTCTGGCAGGGATGTATCTTATCGCCACTTTTATTTAATCTGTATAGTAAAGCTATCTGTGAACAAGCACTCGAGGAAGAAGATCTTGGTCTGATAATAAATGGTGAGACGATCAACAATATAAGATATGCTGACGATACAGTTCTCCTAACGGGAACGCTAGTAGAACTACAACATCTCGTTCAAAGTCTCAATATATACTGTAACAGTTACGGCTTAAAAATTAATTTGAAAAAAAACTAAATTTATGGTAATCACGAAATCAAAGAACATCAGAGCTAATCTTGTAATAGACAATACAACGATTGAGCGTGTGCCCTGTTATAAATATCTAGGTGCTTGGATCACAGACGATACTGATCAAACAAAAGAGATTAGATGTAGAATAGAAACCGCTAGATCAGTCTGTAATAGAATGCGCAAACTCTTTTGCAATCGTGATATCAATATAAAGTTACGAATACGAATGCTGCGGTGTTATGTCTTTTCTACCCTGTTATATAGAGTTGAGGCTTGGACACTAAAACAGTTGTCCATAAAAAACATCGAAGCTTTCGAGATGTGGTGCTATAGGCGCATTCTCAGAATATCATGGATGGACCGCGTCACTAACACGCAAGTACTCCAAACTTTAGACAAAAGATGCGAAATTCTAAATGCGATAAAAACTAGAAAGATGGAATACTTGGGGCACATTGTGAGAGGTGAAAAGTACGAACTTTTAAGAAACATCATGCAGGGCAAAATTAAGGGCAAAAGAAGTGTGGGAAGAAGAAAAATATCGTGGCTTCGTAATCTACGTGAATGGTTCGGGTGTAGTTCGATTGAACTTTTTAGGCGCGCTGCTAACAAAGTCGCAGTGGCCATGATGATTTCCAATCTCCGCTAGGAGTGGCACGAGAAGAAGAAGAAGAAACCTGTTACGGCAGAGTGCCTTTCTCAAGTGTTGCTATAAACGTATGTTTCACAAATTAATTATTTTGCAACAGTCAATAATGAATTTTGAAAGGAAAAAAGTGGTAGAGTGGTAGACATACTATGGATATTAGATGAATGTAATAAGAACTCTCTATTTGCAGCAAAATTGCAGTAAGAGTCTATTGTGAGCAATATCCACATCATCGGCAACATAATAAGAGAGCATTTCAAAATGTAATGGATATATTTTCAATCGCAATAATTCAGTGTTACATGAGACTAAAGGAAAAACAAAAACGGTTACAACAGAAGAAACCGAATTAAATTGTTTACTGGTCGTTACTGAACATCCTCTTACAAGTATCCGAAATATTCCATGAGAGCAAGACATTAGTCACAAATCTATTCAGAAAATTCTCGCAAGACCCCGCATGCCCCCATACCATAACCAACGACACCAAAAATTGACCTATTATGAGTTGGCGTCGGTACACTACGCTTTAGTGTAAAGTGGGTTGCATAAACATCCGAGATGACAGCTTCCGATAGAGACACCGTGGTGAATAAATGTGGTTTAATTGAATTATCGTCATAGATTTATATTCATTATTCATTAATAAATAATTAATAACCAATTCAACAAAATAATACACAAATTAAGACGGAATGTTTGGCAATTGTATTTGGTTATCAGTGTTTCAAGTCAATATTTGAATGGTGGAGAGTTTGTTGAAGAAAACACCAATAAAACGAAGTATATGAAAATAAGCACATAACCACAAAACCTACGACCCTTTGTTATAGAAAACGACGTCATCGAAGCAGTGAACGAATTTGTATACCTGGGACCGCCCCTTAACACTGAAAATACTACTACCGCAGAATTTGCGCAGCCAACAGATGCTATTTTGAGCTCAATCTCCTCTTTAAAACTACAATCATATAGAGAAATACAAAAATAAAATTCTACAAAACAATAATACGCCCAGTCTAACATATGGTTCAGAGACCTTAACTCTAACAAAAAATAATGAAAACATGTTAGGACGTTTCGAAAGAAAAGTACCTGATATCGTAAAACATATTAAGATGGATAGGGCATGTATGCCAATGGAACAAAATGACCCAGTTAGAAAAATGCTCCTTGATAGACCCATTGGTCAGAGAAGAAGAGGAAGACCCAGAACAACGATCCCTGATAACATCGATGGATATGTCAGAGATGGAGAATGATCATCTACCTTTTAAAAAGCTACTTAAAACCTAGCCATTTAAAAAGCTACTCAATCAATGCTCAATTTTATTTTAGTCAAATATATTATATTAGATCACAGTTATATTTTGCTGATGTTTTATCTCGCTCAGGTTGTCATGAAGTTCTGAATCTAGTTCTGAAATTATAAAGCAAGATATGCATGCACAAGTAGAATTAATTGATTAGTATGATAAAGTCCACAAAGATTTGAATTAGTAAAAATTGAATCAGAACAGGATTTAGATTTAAGAGAGATATCAAAAGTGGTTAAATCAGAATGGCCATTAGAAAAACATAAACTTAATGAAATGATAAAAGCATATTGGAATTTTAGAGACCAAATATCAGAAATGAAAGAAGTACTGTTTAGATGACAAAAAATTATGATTCTTAATATTAAACGTAGGGAGATTTCGGACAAGAGACCACGTATTTTGGCCATTTATTAATAAAGAAATAACAGATCTGGTAAAGAGTTGTCTAGTTTGTTCAACTTATCAAAAAGCCAAACTAAAGAAATGTTAATATCCAAAGAAATTGCAAACATATCACAAGAAACAGTTGCTGTTGATTTTTTTTATTTTTATAGCAAACAGTATTAGTTACTAGTTGATAGTTTCTCAAAATATCCAGAAAAAAGTTATTTACATAATAACACCACTAATGAAAAATGTTCATAATATTAAGGCATCGTAAGCCGGAAGATGGTTCTCAGTTCACCAATAGTACTTTTAAAATTTTTTCAATTAATGGATAATTACTCACAAAAACTTAGACATCCACATTTAATAGGTTTATTGAAAGATATGTCCTACGAAAATATGTTTACAAAAATTTTGTTTGATTAAAAAAATATGTATGTGGCTTTAGCAGAAATTCATAATACACCCATAAATCATTGTATACCATCTCCTGCAGAGCTGTTATTTGATCGTAAGTTAAAAGATTTTATCTCTTTAAGTAATTCACAATTGCAACCAAAATTTGATATAGAAAATGTAGAACATGTCACACAATCAACAATAAAAACAGATCAAGAACATAAAGTATGTACGTAAATTTAGCTAAAATAATTTTTTATTCAGTAGTAAAAATAATTTTAGTTGAATTACTGGAGAATTCCTTGTTTAATAGAAATTATCCAGCTGTTCGAAATAAAACAGAGGCGAATATTGATAAATGTAAGTTAGAAAATGAAAGAGTAGAATTAGATTTTATTTGATAAAGAAAGTGATATGTCAAAGCTATGTTAGGTTAAATTAGTTCATTATTGTCAATAATAAATAGGACCAAATTGTATTCAAATCTTATCTTATGGTCTAATGATTAGCCTTTGCATACTACGCTCTAGTGTAAAGTGGGTTGCATAAGGGTCGCGAGCTGATGACAGCTTCCAGTAGAGACAGCGCCAGTGGGACGCTAACTTTTTTGAAAGAAGAGTAGCTTTATGTGAAAGGGCACAACAAAAAATAATTACACCAAGAAATGTTTTCGATTTTGTTTTATTCAGAGGTGAAGCAACAAAGTTTTACAAAAACGGATGTGTCAATCAGCATAATGTCTACTATTACTTCACAACAAATCCGTACGACATAATTACGAAGACTCAAAAGGTGGTCCCTAAGTGTTTGAGGTGGTACTTTAGTAATTATGTAATATATCCTTTCTTTTTTGAGGAAACAGTAAACGGAGAGGTTTATTTAGACTTTGTTGTAAACAATTGTGGTAGTTATATGACGGAGCTGTTTCGTATCACAACGCATTTATCCAAGTTGAATTGAATGAACAATTTTCACTAACAGATGAATAGCCAGGTGGATCCCCAGAATTAAATAAAGTCGACTTCTACTTCTAACTTCTAAAAGATTAAAGATTATTATTTTGAAAATTGATATGAAGGTCAGAATTAGAAACGCATTTCATAATGTTATGCCACAAATGCTTACAAACGTGAGTAGATCATTTGAAAACCATCTTCAAGCCTGTGTCGATGTTATAAGAACTCATTTCGAACACCTTATACAATGAAAAAAAAATGTTTCTAAAGGGCGTTGAACTTGTTACAAATTTCATTGAGATTTGGAAATAACTTTTTAAATACCCTGTATAACACAAAACAACTTGTATTATTTTAAAGAGGAAGAGAAGCGGATGTTAAATTTAAATTAAAATACCGGGGGATTCATTAAAAACATGTTTGAAGCGGTACAGTGTTATGTAACACCCTGTATATTTGGAACTAATTTTAAAAGGTGAAACTTACATCTACCTCCTATAATAACAGACATATCGGACTTTGTCACAAAATTTGTTTAACTTGTACACAGGTAATTTTAGACTTGCCCTGTATATTAATAAAACAATTGTTAAATTCATAGAATTTTTGTATAAGTATTAAACATCACGAGATAACAAAGACAATATCTTACTTACCCGTCCAGTAAACGAAATTCTCAAATACCGTAATCGCAAAAGGATGGGACAGCACCTCAGGATGTCTCATGATTTCATGAACATCTCCTCCGTCATAATTCGATGTATGTATAGAGTCCGATCTAGCATCTACCCAATATATCCTCCTAATGGTGTAATCCAAAGTAATACCATTCGGCCAGCCGTTGTACTCAATTTTAACAACTATTTTCCTGTCCGAACCAGCCAGGGAACAACGCTCGATTCTGGGCAGTTGTCTATCCCAGTCAGTCCAGAAGAGGTATCCGTCTCGAGGATCCACTGCGATTGCTCTGGGACTTTCCATATCTCCCGCTACTAAAGTCCGTCTAAAACTGCCGTTTAATTTAGCCACTTCGATTTGGTCCAGGCTGCTCTCCACCCAGTATAAGTTTTCCCCTTAAAGAAAAGAACTGTCAGTTTATCCATATATATTAGAACTATGATATTTTAAAATTTAAAATACATTTTCAGTGAAGTATGGATTATTGATACAACAGATGTATTATAAGAACATCCCAACACTGCCAAATCGAAATATTTTGTTTTATGGTTAACATTTGCGGCTAAATTTTATATTTAGAAGTCGATATATTTTTGCACGAATACACCAACACAATTATGGAATACCGAAGTTCTACGTAATAAGGAGACAGAACAGAAATTTCAAAAGGCTATAAAAATCGCTCTAGCACAGACAGAAGACTATAACAACATAGACTCAGCTTGGAAAAATATCAAAGTAGCTCTGACAAGCGTATCAGATGAAATACTAGGACACAAAAAGAAAACGACAAAAAAATGGTTCGATGATGATTGCCTGAACACCATATTAGCAAGAAATATGGCTAGAAGGAGCATGCTACAAAACCCCTCGCACAACAACAATGAAATGTATAGACAAAGAAGAACAGAGACAAGAAAACTAATGAAAAGGAAGAAGAGAAAGTATCAGGAACAAATAATCAGAGATATAGAAGAAAAAAGAAAGAACAAACAAGCGAGGCAGTCCTTTAAAGGAGTTTCAGATATCAAGACCGGGTACCAAGTAAGAACAGGAAACTTTCTTCAAAACGAAAGTGGACAGCTTATCACCGATGACAAGGAAATCTTAAAAACCTGGAAGGAATACTTCTATCAACTATTGAATGACCAATCTAGCAGAAGTACATCAAACATAGAGGTACATACAGCTGAAATAGAAGACCAATACCCGACATACGAAGATGTAATACAGGCAATTAAAAAACTCAAAAATAATAAGACACCAGGTAGCGATGGTATACCCGCAGAGTGCTTAAAACATGGAGGAGAAGCGTTGTACAGTTCGATATACAAGCTAATTCAAGACATTTGGCAAGAAGAAACAATGCCAGATGAACGGAAAGAAGAGGTTATTGTACCAATACACAAAAAAGGAAACAAAAAGCAATGTATTAACTACAGGGGAATAACACTCCTAAACACCACCTACAAAATCCTTGCAAACATCCTGCTAGAAAGAACCAAAACATACACAGAAGAAATCGTTGGAGATTATCAATGCGGATTTAGACCAGGCCGCTCTACAATTGACCAGATATTCACAATAAAACAGATAATGGAAAAAATGCTGGGAGTTTGACCGTGAGCTTCATCAGATGTTCATAGATTTTAAACAAGCATTTGATAGAGTATGTAGGGACAGACTGTGGACAGCGATACAGGAACTTGGCTTTCCAAAAAAACTAGTCCGGTTGATACGGATGTGTATGGAACGGTTACGATGTAAGGTGAGAGTTCGACAACAATACTGGGAGACATTTGAAATAAACAATGGACGAAAACAGGGAGATGCACTTTCACCACAACTCTTCAACTTAGCTCTGGAGCACATAATCAGAAGTGCAAGAATCGAAAAACCGAATACAGTATTTCATCGAGAAGGACCAAACTTACTACTGGCATTTGCAGACGATATAGATCTAATAGGAAACACGCGATTAAGGATGAAGGAGACTTTCGTAAGGTTTGAGAAGGAAGCAGAGAAGATGGGGCTCCAAATCAACGAAAACAAGACGAAATATATGTATATGAGCCGCAAGAACCAAAGCAGAGACAGAACCGGTCAGAACATTACCATCGATGACTTTAACTTTGAGCGCGTTAGAGAATTCAAGTATCTTGGAACAACAATAACTGAAGACAATAACGGATCACAAGAAATAAACAACACGATTCAGGCCGGCAACAGATGTATTTTTGCCCTCCAAAACCTTATAAAATCAAAACAACTAACACGACGTACGAAGATACAGGTCTATAAAACAATCATACGACCCGTTGTGATGTATGGAAGCGAAACGTGGACGATAACAAAGGCAAATGAAGAGAGACTACGTGTTTGGGAAAGAAAAATCCTAAGGAAGATCTTTGGTCCGGTGCTTGATGAAGCATCAGGGCAATATAGGATAAGAACTAATAAAGAGCTTGAAGAACTTTACCCAGACGCCAACATCATAAAAGAAATAAAGTCCAGAAGACAATGGGCAGGACACCTCAGAAGACACTCTGACGAACGAACAGTAAGACTGGTGTGGGAGGAAGTCCCAACTGGAAGGAGACCACGCGGACGCCCTCGTCTCCGGTGGCGAGATAATATAGCAGGAGACCTAAGCACTATGGGCGTGGAGAATTGGATGGAGGTTGCTCAAGACAGAAAACAGTGGAGGCATGTTGTCGAGTCGGCTAAAACCCACGAAGGGTTGTAACGCCACGGAGTAAGTAAGTAAGTATATATTTTTGCATAGTTGTCATAAATATTTTACTACTATCGAAAAAGATAATGCTCTCGCTGTCCATCTCGTGCATTCAGGTACGTATTGATTGTACTAATAAGGATAAAACCTCGATATTAAACTGCACGCCTTACTTTACGTAGTAAATTTCGCAACACCGTAATTTACTTTGTCTATAACATATGTATGTTAGCACAAAAATGCTAACTTAGATATTTGAGTAGTATCTCCACTACGTATTTGAAACTTTGATCACCGACAACCCTGTTGAATTTCTAATTTATAAATAACATATTTTTTTTAATTTATTTTTTAAAATACTATGTTAATATACTCGAATTGATCCGTTTAGACAGCGTATTGAAAACATTAGTAGTAAAGTAATTTTTTGGTCCTTCGAGCCTGTTATTCTGCAAGTCAACAAAGAACAGATGGTACATACTCACCAAGCCAATCAACAGCAAGTCCCTCAGCCGTGGTAAGACCAGTTTGTACAACCACTTCGATATTTCCTAACGATCCACCAACGATGGTACCTCTATATATCTTATCATCTATCACGTCAGTCCAGAAGATCATGTTAGTGTCATTTTTGTGGTAGAAATCTAAAGTTATGGTGTTTTTTAAACTGGCTATGAAAGATTTTAGACCGAACGTATGGAGATCCACACCTCTAAGCTCGTGTCGATTGCTGAAAATGACGTAGGGTCTTTCGTTGTCGGTACTTTTACAGGTGAAACCGTCGTCCTGGATGACATAACCGTCTACACAGGTGCATTTGTAGCGGGAACCTGAAATAGGAATAATCTATAAGAAATAGTATTATATATTTTTGTGGCTTCGATGCAATACCGCTGATAATTTTTTAAGAAAAACGTACTTGTGTCCAATGTCAACATTTCCAAATAATATGTCATGAGCAAAAATTTAGACGACATATTTTGAAATATCCTGCAAGTAGTGTTTCTATACCGGTTCCACCCCAAAAGTTCAAAATCCTACGCCAGATGGCCCTATTTTAATTTGAAAGTAGACTCCCTCTATAACGAGAACTGAAATGGCAGACTAATTACCTCGTTATAAGCCGATCTCGTTATATCAGATAACAATAATATTGTGCATACATATGAATATGTAGTTTTCTAAAATATTACCTTCCTATAGTGAAGCCATTCGGAGCAATATAAGATGCTAAATATTGTTTGAATAGCATTTTTGAAAAAAAAGTTGTTTACTTTTATTGTCAATGAAATACGTTAAAACAAAAAATCTGTACTTTTTTGTAAAAAAAAACTGTACTTTATACATTATATAAAACTACATAATGTATAAAGCGTATTTTCAAGGATAACATAAACTATTGCTTCTGCAATTGGGAGAAGTCTGTCATTTTTGACTGCTTTAAATTGTCTAGTATCATTCTATCTATCATATTTTCTAAAGATGTGATACAGTTGTATGCTTCTTTATTTGCGTTTTGTCTTTGGATAAAGTTTTTTGCTACGTTTAAAGCACTTTCCACATCTTGTCTATTTGGATCTTCTTGCGTAGATTTACCGCGATTGTCTTCTCCATCTTCATCACGTTCCTCATTGACGATAACGCGCTCCACCGGCGAATTTATTACTCACGAAAGGACTCAAGCAGGGTTGCTGTATTCAAAATTTATTTGGAACAAGCACTCAAGCTGTGGAAAAGAAAATGTAATGGCATGAGAATCCCTCTCAATGACGAGACTACACTGTACACCTTATGTTTCGCTGATTACCAAATACTGATTGCCAGGATCATGATGACTTGAGTTACATGACTCGGAAGCTAATAAAAGAATATAACAAATGGGGTCTCGAAGTCAACATTAAGAAAACTGAAGCCATGTGTATTGGAGGGGCAAAGCAGTCCATTATATTAGACGATGGGGTAGAAATTAGATACTGTGATGAATACAAGTACTTGGGTATGAAGATAACTCAAGATGGAACACTCGATGCTGCTATAAAAGACAGAAACATACAGGGTAGAAAAGCCATATCCATGATGAATGGCATTCTGTGGGACCAAACAATATCTAACAAGAACAAACAACTCATATACAACACCATACTTAAAGGTGTAATCCATGGACGTATCGATGGTGTAATCACATATGGCAGTTAAGTTTGACCAATGAAACAAAGACATCTAATGTACCTCGTTATAAGCAAAATCTCGTAATTACCGTGTTCGTTATAGGAGGAGCATACTTAAAGTATTTTTCTTGTAGCGACCTCTATCGAACGGAGGTGGAACCGGCATAGAAACACTACTTCTGCACCCCGCTCCAGCGATTTTAGTGGTACACATCACTGGTAGTCCAAGGCCGTCACTGTCATAGGGGCTATGTTTTGTTGCAATATTTATATAAATAGATATTATGTGAGTGTTAGAGAACTACGCAGTAAAATTCTCTTTCATGTCGCGTTACTACTTGGAAAATGTTAAATATCTATACATGCAGTATATTAAAGTAGAAAACAATCTGTGAATAATCAGTGAGAATATTATAATATCATGACTTACCTCTTGGTATACACAGTTGCGAACAGGCTCCTAACGCCTCGCAGGGATGTGTAGCCTTGCAGTTTATCTTATCGGGTTGCAGAAGAAGATTTTTCGGACAGGTACAAATTAATCCCTCGGGAGCATTATGACAGTCGTGGGAGCACATGATACTATGTTCGCAAAGCATATCGGAACACCTTAGACCTTCGTCAGAACCGTCTTCGCAGTCTTTGCGATCGTCACACAACTTCTCGACGTCGACGCACTTCGTGCCGTTGTCACACAGTCTAGAAGGGTATTCGCAAGATGAAGAAAGCCGGTAATTTGTCATGTTGTGATCTATAAACAAATCATACTGATTTATGAGGTGCCCAATAGAAATACATAAATCAGGAAAGCAATAAAGAAAGCAAAAATTCATGATATTCTGTACCCTACCTATAAGTAGAGAGTGGCAGCCCGTGAGGTTTTTTGACAATATCATGAACCCGTCACTAAAAATTTAGGCAGTTGCCCGAATTCTGGCACTACCTCCTAAAAGTGAAAGTGCCAAATAATTTATATGACAAGCTTACCCAAGCTGCAAATTATCCAAAACGAAAAAAAATGGAAGGGAACAGCATCTGCACAGAACGCAACAATGGAATCGCTTGAATTAGCAATTAAGCATATTTTTCCATAGTTCTGTAGCCCCTTCCATTCTGTTAAATGTTTACGAATATGCCCGACGCTAATAAGGGATATTCATCTTGTTCTCTGCACTAATGGAAGTATGAAAAATTGCAAGTAATATAATGACGTTACATTATCACGTAATTTTGTATTATAAAACACAGAAGCGAAAAATGCCTGAAGAAATAAATAACAAATTAAATAATAGTACAATATTAAGTGTGATTCTACGCTAATGTGCAGATATTCAGAATTTCCATTCTAATCCGTACATTTCTATTCCGTTCCGCGATAATGTGTAACATAACCTGCTTTGGACTTAGGTCGTAATTTGAAGTGTACAGGACGCTGATAGTGAACTTCATTGACAATTGTTCCAATAAATGGAAACAGTTTCGATGGCAATCAAGAACGATAAAAAAATAGATTGACACATAAAGTACAAAAGACAGTTTCGATATATAGAGAATTTCCCAATCTTAAGGAACTATACTTAACTTGGTTTTCAAGTAAGTATAATTCTCTAGCGTACTATGAAATATGTACAAAACTTACATTGGCACATCTTGTCGACTTCGTCAGACCCGTCTGCGCAATCCTGTCTATTGTCGCATAATTTGGCAGCTGATATACATTTGGTGTTATTATCACACGCCTTGTCAGGTAAATCACAGACGAAGCTGTGGGTTTTGGCATTAGTAGCATTCTTTAATCTGCCAGGATCACAATTCATTTCATCAGAGCCATCTATGCAGTCAAGATCCGAGTCACAAACGAATTCCTAAAAGAATAAAACCATAGATAAATAATATAGTATATAGAATAAAACATTAAAGGTGGATTTGTAAGTGTGGTGTGTATATATGGGGCTATATACATATATATTTTTTAGAGTACAGTTGAAATGTATCTTTTTAAATGGTTCAAAGTTTTAGGAGCTATACAATTGGTAGGGATTATTATTATTAATAAAGACATTTACCTTAGGTATACATTCATAATTCGAACAACTAAATTCTTCCGGTTCGCATTCGATCTTTGGCCCACAATCCTTTTCGTCCGATCCATCCGGACAGTTGACCTTACCATCACACACTACTGACTTTGGAAGGCATTCGTCCCTTGGTTTACACGGAACTTCAGTTTGTGGATTGCAAGTGACACAGTTGATCTCGTCGCTGCCATCGTCGCAGTCTTTAATCCAGTCGCAGTAATATCTGGAGGCTATGCACTGGCCATTTTTGCATGCGAATTCGTTGATTTCGCAGGGAGAAGTTTCTAAAAGATGTATATATTAGTAACTTACTTCACGAGTGCTTTGAGAAAAATCGTTCTCAATGTCCAATAATGATATCATTACTATCACAGAATACTCCACCTAACTTTGTTGATGTATTCTGTGTTACTACTATAAGCTTTTGATTAAATTACAATTTATGTTGGCATGTGTCAAAAGTCAATTTGGGTTGCTATAAGTTAGAAATTCGTTAAAGTATTTACTGCTTGGTTGAACAAGGTTGATTTATAGGACAATTGTTGAATGTGAAAAAGAAATACCATGTTTTAATTTAACAAAAAGTGGATGACCACAAATATGAATACGCCTTTTCATCATGTGACGAGCGCATGCGCAGCCGCCACGTTGAAACAATAGTTCGTACTGTTTTTATCAACAATGGCTGGGAACGCAGTATTATCTCCACAATTAAATGAATTATTAAAAAAAATCATTGTTTCTGCTTCACTTATTTAAAATTGCGTTGAATCCCATAATTCTACGCAATTCAAACATTATTGTCTTGCACAAAGAGGAAAAAGAACTGAACTAAAGAGGTTAGACATCATTACACTGTTTAAGCACTATACAAACAATATCTATAATGTTTTATTCTAATAATTAATGATGTAAATCGATTTTCATTACTTGTTGAAATATATTAATTAAGAAAAATATTATTATAGTATATAATCAATAAAATAAATATTCCATAATGGCACCGCTTCGTAGTTCCTTTTTGTATGGGTATCATAATAATCATGAGCAGAGCAGAAATGAGATGGCCAGATTCTGGAGAAATACAAATAGAAGATCACAAGGTATATTACTTGGGAAAAAGGTTGCCAAATGCGTTACTAACTTTACACCAATATCAGAGAGAGTGATGTTACAAGTAGAAGCCAACCGTCTTAATATAAACATCATCCAAGTCTATGCTCCCACTGCAGACAAAGAGGAGGAAGAAGCAATTGAGTTTTAACAGAACATCAACAGTATCATACAGAAAATTCCTCGACAGGTAGTTCTCATCATTATGGGCGATTTTAATGCCAAGATTGGAGCTGGGGATAAGACACAGTACATTAGAGCATATGGACTTGGAGTCAGAATCGAGAGATTCTGACTCCAAGTCCATATGCTCTATCGAGAATCGAGAGAATCGAGAGAATCAAATAGACTAAATTTTAATAAATAAAAGATTCCAAACAGCTTTACATCTGTCAAGACTTATCCTGGAGCAGACTTGGTGACAGACCACGTTCCACTGGTGGCAGTATTTCGAGTCAAACTCGAAACAGTGATATTGGTCGGTAGGATGTCACTTCATTAGGAGATTTACCTGATTTGGCGATCATAATTACTTCGGCTCCCAGAGTCTGGGAACATATCTCAATCAAAAAGCAGCATTTATTAGGTGTGTCAGCTTAACTATGGCTTTTCTTGGTAGCTTTTTTAATAATTCTCCTGTTATGAGATAATATCCTGGAGTTTTCTTAGGATTTATATTCTCTTTTATCTCTGTTGATACTTCTCTACGTGATGTCAACGTCATTTTTTCTTCAGTTTGGAATGGTTCTTCCCATCTCAGTTCTTCACCATCATTGTCGTTGGGTTTGAACGTGCTTTCTAAATGATCTGCAAATCGTTCTGCTTTCTGTTTGTTACTTCTAGCCCAGTTGCCGTTTTCCAACTTGATAGGAGGAGAATAAATAATTGGTCTCTTCATTCTTTTTGTTGCCTTCCATAAAGAATAATCTTTGTTCTAGTCAGCTGTTAAATTACTTAAAAAATAATTAATTGTTGAATTTTTTATATTCTGTATCTCCTTTTTTAGTTTTTGTGTAGCATTATTAAGACTAGTTTTGTCTCGTGGAGATCTGTATTGCTGCCATTTTTTTCTTAACTTCCTTTTTTCTACTATGAGTTCTCTGATTTCTTTTGGATAGTTGTTCCCTTTTGTTCTAGAAGTTATTGTGGGAGTGTTTACCCAAGCTGCCTGTTGGATATTTTTTATAAAAACTTCTAATTCGTCATCAAGTTGCTTCGTGTTTCTCAATGGCACAGCAAGATTATTTTGTGTTCAAGGTTTATTTTGAAGTTCTGCCAGTCAGTTTTTTTATTAGTCAATATTTGATAAAGATATTGGTAAAGTGTAATACTGCCGCTTTTCCTGTTTATGTCGTTCTGTGAACGTAAAGTGAAGAAGAATGGCATGCCATAATAGATTCTATATATATATATATATATATATATATATATATATATATATATATATATATATATAAAGGTTATGTAGAAAATGAAATAGGGCCACAATCACATTATTGATAAAATTAGAATATGTATTTCGGTAGTATTATAGTACTAAATAAAGAAAAAATCATATTCGTGCATCATATTCTAAGCTGGAAGATTTGCTAGTTAACAATCAAAATTAAAACTATTCAGAACACCAGAAGTGAAGCAAATGATGCTAACACCTACACTCAAAGATATCTGCCAAAATTATTGGATATGATCGACTTTCTGTATGAATTTTGGATTCTATAATATGTTTGATTACTTTAATTAATTTGCAAAAAGAAGTCATATTTATTAAGAAAACTATTACTAATAGATGTTAGCATTCGAGGATCGACATATACTTTAATAAAGAAGTAAAAAAATGATAAAATTGTTATCTTAATTTATTACACCAAAAAAATAAGATTAAAAAAAAAACGATTATACTCACTGCAATCAGTTTCATCGCTGTGGTCATCGAATCCACAATCGTGAACGTTGTCACAACGCCAGCTGGCAGGAAGACATCTTCTCGACTTTTTGCATTTGAATTTTGTAGGCGGACATACTTGAGAGCAGGTTTCTGGGTTTTCGTCAGTTCCATCTAAGCAGTCCTTTTCTCCATCGCACACCCAATGTTTTGCGATACAACTTGTCTTGTCACACTAACAATAAACGGCATAATATTAGTACATTATTTTATGAAAAGTACTCGTGTATAGATTGAGGGGAAAAAGAGCATTTGAGGCAAAAAAATTGTCAGACATTAAGTGTATAAATATGAGCGGTTTTCAAGTAGCTTTCGGTTCTTCACGTGCTCCTACACTCTGGAAGTCCATTTCGTTCAGACTCTACCCGGCATTCTAGACCTTGGGGTCAGTTGTCGTTTCAAAATAACTGGTGTTACATTTTCCTACCAAAGAAGCTACACGAAGCTGATATATAGAGCGACTGATAGAGGCAGAAAACAAAAAACCTTTTTGCTGCACCCGCAGCGAAATCACAGACTGCCTAAACTGCACACTATCATAAACGCTGAATCTACAATCCATCATCGAAATTTTCTTTAGACCTGATACCTTCAATATACCAAATGTTTTCAGCAAAATAGGATTTGTTCGAAGTCAGAAGTCCTAGCGGTTACTGAAGGAGTAGATCCCTTGCCCTAACGAAATATAGCTCAATTCAACGACGTAAGTGCAAGCGTACTTGACTAGACAAGTACCTTTCGGACCTACCTAACAGGATAATGATATTTAATAGAAGACGAGGTCATAGAAGGAGACGAAGCCATATTTTCTACCTTTCTAAATTTTTTCAATAAATTTCACCCACTGCCACAGAGTCTCCAAAGGGTGACTGTCATCAAACTCTTTCAGTCGTTGACAATGAGTGTATAAATATGTGAGGTTTTTAAGTTATCGCTCTTAGTCCTTAACGAGCTCGTCTAGATTCTCCTACACTCTGGAAGCTCATTCAGCTCGTGTTCTATCCGCCACCCTTATACTCTGGGGTCAGTTGGTGTTTGGAAGAAACTGTTGTTTTATTTTCTAACCTGAGCGACTGTTGGGGACCGAAAACTACCAGCCGCTCGACCATTTTTGCTGCGGCCGCAGTGCCAGTACCTAATATTATTAGAGGGAATGCAATTGAAATATGTAGTTAGAAAAACCTTAGAAATGATAAAAATAAACATACATAAAATCTTATCGATATTATCAAAATAAAAGACTACTGATTTTTCTTACCTTAAGTTGATTTTCTCCACAGGTCACATTGTGACAGGGACCACCCGGCTCAAGTAACTCATCGGAGCCGTCTCCGCAATTGTCAACCGTATCGCACAGGTACGCATTAGGGATGCAGTGCCTCTTTTGAGTACATTGAAACATTTGTGGAGGACAGCTAGGGGGCGCTGTAACGTTAGCCGCTTTGATACAGCTTCCATTCGTCCACTGATATCCATCGGAGCATGCGCACGTTGAACCGTGGTCAGGTAGTGGTAGACATAGTTCGGGACATGTCGACACAGAACAATCGTTATCGCCTAAAATTTACAGAACTTAATAGTACAAATGTATGAAATTGAAATGTGTTTAAAAATATCGATTACTTTAACAAGAGTTTAATATTACCCCGTACTTAAGAACTTCCTCAGTTCGCAACTAAGGGGCGAATTTAACTATAATAAAATCATGTATAATGAGGTTAAATAGAGTACAGAAAAATGGAAAGATCTATGGCTAGAATAACACAAATCGAGAAAGAAAGAAAGATCATAGAAGAAAAACGAAGGGAAAAGACTTAAACAAGGTGGTAAAACTGAAATGGAGATGACTTGGTCATCTGACAAGAAAAAAAGATCAAAAATGCACAAAAAAAAGTCCAGCTGTAATGGTTGACGAAGGCTAATAAGAGAAACCAAAGGCAATACGACAAATGACCTAAAAGGAAGTTAATGGTTGAAATAATGCAGAAATTGAAAAAAAAACGAAGATCTTTGACGAGAAACGAAAGCAAAAGACTGAGAGAAGGTGGCAAAACTAAAATGGAGATGGGTCGGTCGTGCGACAAGAAAAAAAGATCTAAAGTGGACAAAAATATTGTCCAGCTGTGATGATTGTGGAATACTGATAAAAGAAACCAAAGACGATAAGACAGATGACCTAAACGGAACAAAATGTTTGAAATAACACAGAGATCGAAGAAGAAGTGAAGATCTTGGAAGAAAACCAGAGGAAAAAGAATGAGAAAAGGTGGTAAAACTAAAATGGACATGGGTCGGTCGTCTGACAAGAAAAAAAGATCAAAAGTGAACAAAAAACATTTTGTCTAGCTGTGATGATTGACGAAGACTGATAAGAGAAATCAAAGACTATAGAAATATGCCCTAAAAAGAAGTTTATGGTTGGAATGGCGCAGAGATAAAAAAGAAACGATGATCTTGGGAGAATAACGAAGAAAAAAGACTTATACAAGGTGGTAAAACTGAAATGGAGATGACTTGGTCGTCTGACAAGAAAAAAAGATCAAAAATGGACAAAAAACATTGTCCAGCTGTGATGATTGACAAATGCTAATCTCTCTAATAAGAGAAACCAAAGGTGATAGGAGCAATGACCTAAAAGGAAGTCTATGGTTGAAATAATAGAGAAACCGAAAAAGAAACCAAGATCTTTTAAGAAACACGAAAGCAAAAGACTGAGAGAAGGTGGTAAAACTAAAATGGAGAGTGGACAAAAAATATTGTCCAGCTGTGATGATTGACGAAGAATAAAAATAACAAATGAAGAAAAAAGATTGTTCAGCTGTGGTAATTCACGAAGACTGAGAAGAGAAACCAAAGATGATGGACAGGTAAAAAGAATAACAAGAAACTGTTAAATATATGTATGAATAGATCACTAGTACTACTTACCTTTTTGTGCTTGCTCATCGAAGAGTTTGATATCAAAAATAGGCAAATTTCCAACATAAACTTTTCTAGCTCCTGTGTCGTTTCTGTAGGCCATTATAGCACCTTTGGCCATCTCAATAAAATACAAATTCTTTGTAGCTCCTGCACCAATAGCCAAGCTAACTGGAGAATCCACTCCGCCTATAGTTTCAGTTCTTTGATCTTTTCCGTTAAAGTCAACACTTTGTATGATTTTGAGGTGCTTATCACCCCAAAATATCCTTTTTGTCTGGTAATCGATGGCCAATCCAGTGGGCCAATGTATTTTTTCTACTAAAAATGCTCTTTTATTTGTACCATCCATATTAGCCGTATCTATACGACCTTTCTCTGGAGATAAACTGGACCAATCAGCCCAATACATAACACCATTGTAAGGATCTACAGCTATAGAAGTAGGACTGTAATTGCTACTTTCTATGAGAGTTCTTGTAATAGAAGTGTTTGCTAATTTGGTGACGCTAATGCTTCCTTTCTCAAGGCTTGTCCAGTAAATATTCCTGGATATCCAGTCGAAAGCAAGACCATCACAAACTACGTTTTTTAATAGGACTTTTACATCTGTGGTATTGATAACAGGTACTTGGTTAACTGTCAAGCTCAGCGCATCGGCGAAAAATATACTTTTAGTTTTCACGTCGAAATCCAGCCCTTTAGGCCTGCCAATGTTCATAATAGGAACTATCGTTTCATTCCCGGTATTCAAATCTATACCTCTTATTGAAAACGGACGGCTTTTAGATACTAGTAAAAAAGTAGAAGGCAATTCTTTCGAGCATCTTCTTTGGTCGGTCAGCGTGTAACCTGTTGCGCAGATGCACTTCTTGATGGCTATGGCACCGTTCCACGTCGGGATGCAGAGGTGATCACAGTCGTTCATAGTTTTGCATGGATGAGCAACTAAAAATGAAAATATACAGATTGAACCAAATTAAAACGGAACATACAATTTAATACATGTCTGTTTGAACTGCATTTGAAATAGTGGACCAATATAAAACTTGGACAAAAATAAATCCATACCTGGGTATAGACATTGTATAAAATATCGTTCAACTATCTGTCTCGTAATGTATTGTTTGCGTAAGACGGGTTTGTCTAAGGAAGTGATAATAGTTCAGGAAATGAATCTCGAAAAAAGTTAAAACTTCGCAATGTTTTCGTCCTGCATGTATCCAGTTGAAATTTTAACAAAAGGCAGGTGATAGCCCAAGGATCAAAATATATATCGAACCGAAGTGCGCTGAAGGGTTTTAGGGGTGAAAACTACCCCTAATTGTCAAAAATTATAAAATAACATATTAAACCTGAATATGGATAAGATTTGGTTTGAATTAGTTAAATAATGATTATTTTATGCTTATGAATAGAGTTCCATCATATTTCAACCCTTAAAAAGCAACCATTGTTAGAGATTAATGTAAAAAAATTACTAATTCTAAAACAATGTTTTATCCTTGGATCGATTTGGATAAAAATTTGGATTTAAGCTCAATTCACCCGCTGCTTTATAGTTTATGTCATGTCGACGAACCCTGATTGTTCTTAGGGGTGAAAACTACCCCTAATTGTCAAAAATTATAAAATAACATATTAAACCTGAATATGGGTAAAATTTGGTTTGAATTAATTAAATAATGATAGTTTCGTGCTTTTGAATAAAGTTCCATCATATTTCAACCCTTAAAAAGCGACCCATATTAGAGATTAATATAAAAAATTAGTAATGCGAAGAAAATGATTTCACCTTGGAACAATTTGCATAAAAATTTGAAATTAAGCTCAACTCACCCTCTGCTTTATAGTTTATGTCATGCCGATGAACCCTGATTGTTCTTAGGGCTGAAAACTACCCCTAATTTTCAAAAATTGTAAAATAATATTACAAATCTTAAGATGAGTGAAATTTGGTTTGGATTAGTTAAATAGTGATTTTTTTATACTTTAAAATACAAATTCAAACATTTTCAACCCTTAAAAATCAATTGTTATGAGTGCTATAGGTGAAAACAATTTTTTGCCATAATTTTGCAACTTTTCAACTTTTGAAAATCACCTTTTACAACATTGCAGTTTTTATAAACTAATTTATAAGATATAAATTGAAAAAAGTAGAATTAAATACAAAAAAATTTATCAACATAAAAAGGCACCATAATTATATTCTTATACATTTACATAAATAATTGAAAATATTTACATTTATATTTACTCATCTTCTTCAATTATTGGTGGACTGTTATTGCACCCTTCATCTGAGCACCCAGAACAAGTAGAGTTACAGTATAAACCAACTTTTCTGCACCCACATGAAACGCCTCATCCTTTTTTGCATTGGCAAAAAATAATTTTCAAAAGTTCATCGGGTGCAGGTTGTTTGTTCATGCGTACGGGTAATAACAAACCATCTTTCGAATACCATCCCCAATCTGTTGCTCTGATATTTTTATTGCCAAGCCATAGACATATGAGCAGATGTTTTATTCTGTTGTATGGGATTTCAAAATAAGAACTCTTAAAATTTCGAATGTATAACGCCCCACTAGCTAATATACCGCTTTTGTAGATTATTATGCTCCGAAATGTACTGTACTATACTAATGGAATTTTCCGGAAAAAAATTAACTCTTTTTTTAACGTATTTCCTTTAATTTTTAACGATAGAGTGTTTCTTCAAAAACGATTTGTAGAGGTTTTTAAGAGCTACAAGGATCTGTGAATTAAATCTTTTTGGAACCCTTGGTTTTTAAATGAAATGAGTTTAAAGGGCTCGAAAAAGATGGTGCTTGATCGTAAATCGATGCTTTAAACGACTATATCTCGTTAAATATTCATCGTACGGCAAATCTAAATAAAGAATAATTTTAGTCATTAAAAAAGCTACAATTTGGTAATTTTTATTTTTTTCATATATTCAGTATTTTCGGGCATATTTAAAAAAAGAAGGGTAAAAAATATGAAATTGTAAATCGTTTCTCGCTTTAAGCTTTACTATTTCTAAAACTAAGCATTTTAAATGGGTCAAACTTCTTGGACGTATTACCAATACATGTACAAAGGGAATTGCAGAAGGGTGAAGATCGATTTTAATTATGGGGTGGTTAGGTGGTTGTTTTCATCGATTTTTTTCGTAAAAAATGAGGTATTGACCTTATTTTCATCATAACTCACTCAATTTTTGAGCTAGAGTCTTTTTTTATGATAGGTTTATTTATGCTCTTTAAAAAAGGTTTTGTGAGTTTTCTTCCAAAAATGCATCATTTTCCCGATATCTGACTTTGAATCTTTCAAATTTGGCATTTGAAGAAAACCGCTGAACATTGATAGGCCGTATTTCGGTTCCTATTATATCGCAAAAACATTTTAAAAAATGAATTGTATTTGTCTTTTTAAAAGCTACAAATTTGTTCTCTACAATTTTTTTGATAAAATGCACCATTTTTGAGTTATTCTCGAAAAATCGATTAAAAACGTGGATTTTTTCGTCTAAAAGTTGTTACTTTCAATCGCGAATAACTTAAAAAATATCATTTTATAAAAAAAATGTATAGCACATTTTTTGTCTAGAATCACTTTTTTAATCGAAACCTGTAGTTAAAACGTAAAAAAAAAATTTCACCCCGGAGATGGCGTGGCAACCACCCCCTGGGCTTTGGCGCACTTTGGTTCGATATAGATTTTGATCCTTAGGCTATTACCTACCTTCTGTTAAAATTTCAAGTCAATCCACGCAGGACGAAAAAATTGCGAGGTGAAATGCTTCAATTCCTGGACTATAACTGGTTTGACAGCATAATAAAATCGTAGATTTATGTGTAGCTTTCAATTTTTATGAGTTCAGAATCCAGCAGCCCGCTGAAGTATGTGATTTTTATAATATAATTATTTGACAATCTTTTGCTGGCCAACCACCTACAGCAGAATTGAGCCGAAATACATTATATTCCTATGTTCCGAATTTATTTCGTTCAATCTGTATATAGCACCATTAGCAAAATATACAGGGTGATCAACTCACGTGACGAAGCCCGTTATATTTGTTATTATAGAAGATACCAAAAAAGTTATTTACAAAAATAGCTGTAGCTCACATTTTAAAATTAGTCATAAATATACACAATAATACAAAGTTGTTTTGTGTTATACAGGGTATTTAAAAAGTTGTAACCAAATTTCAATAAAAATCGTAACAAGTTCAGCGCCATTTATAATTGAAAAGAGGTATAAAAGTAACGACCTGTTGTAGCCATTAATTTTAATTGATTGTCAAAATTCATAAAAATGTCGAGATTTTTCGAGAAATGTCTAAATGCAAAAATACAAAATGAAGGTTCAGAGGAACTTCCAGATATAAACGAAGAGGAAATTAAATCAGCGTTAAAATGTATGAAGAACAACAAAACGCTTGCAGAAGATGACGCCTGGCAGAGACTGGAAAAAAAACTAGAAATACCAGAAAAGCTCGTATTACGGACGCCATTAAAAGAATTACAACGCTGAAATGGAACTGGACAGGACTTGTTGAAAGAGTCAGAAATGGAAGATGGAACAAGAAAATTTTAGAATGAAAACCTGGACACGATGCTTATCTTAATCGAGGACGTTATCCAACAAGGGTCGGACGACATCAAGCATATCCAGAACAACTGGATTCAAGACGCTCAAGATTAGATGCAATGGAATTATTTACGGGAGGCCTATGTTTAGCAGTGGAGTCAAAACGGCTAATGACGATGATTATTTTAAAAAATCTGGTTAAGGTCACCAATCACAATGCTGAAACCTCTAGTATTGAGTTGTTCAGTAACAGTCTTTACATCTGATAGGACTTTTCAAGTTTTTCCAATTCACTTTCCGCTGCTGGTGCATACACTTGTATTCCATGTATGTTTCTGGATTTCATATAAACTCCGCATTCCATGAGCCTATTCTACAACTCATTTTGATATCAAATTTGGTCAAGCGGGAGATTCTTCGCACTTCGCCTAATCGGGGACACCATTTATTAGTTCCTCAACCATAACAATGAAATAATCCTGGAAAAAATAGTGTAGTAGTTGTTCCCTTGGCTTTCTATACCGCACCGAGTACTGTTATGGTTTGACCGTTTTGGCCTACATGACTTCCGCTCAATACAAATACTGAAAAACCTGCAGCCGATTTCCATGTTTGATTGTATAAGAACCCTAAAACCAGGGGTACCATTGTGAAGACTTTCTTCTCCGAGAAGGATGCCGTTGTGGACTTCATCCATTACTCTGGACAAGGGTAATGTACCTTAGCAGGTACTAGTTTCTCGAGTTAGGAAACACCAGGAATCTGCGGAGAGCAGGGATTTATTCACTTCCCTCGATAGGGCTATCCAGAAGGAGTTCCTACCCACTAGAGCCACTACTTGCTCAGGATTTTTAAATGCATTACTCTGTATTTTATATCACCATCATAAAGTAATACCTTTTTTGTATCTTCTATTGAACAATTAAGGTCACGTACATTATGCCAAATTAATAAAATAATTTATTAGGGCTGTATCAATAGTTCAAAATAATTAGGAGAGGTATACTTCATTCGCTTAGCTCGGGTATATTTTGAAAGATTCATTGTCGGAAATCTACAACACAACAATTCCTACTTCTCAGTATTAATAGCTCAAGTATACTAATATTGCAGACTTCTTTCTTTGAAAAAAGAAGAATTATTCTAAAAAGTGTAAGTGTATACCATCGAGCAATAAG